TTAAAACAAAAAACATCCAGAGCCTATTAATTATTAAGCATTTGAGTGTTTTTTTTCCCCTTAGTCATTAAAATAGTAAAACTCAGAACTAATTGCAGATAGTAGCTTTACTAAGAGAACATTGAAATCTGTTAATAATTGGAAGCATGTTCTCAAACCCTATATCCCAAATTCCAGAGAGGATTTTTGCTCCTGTTCTTATCTCCTTGTGACTCATTAGCTTCCTTTATTTATTTAGGCAAGATATCTGACACAGGCTAAATCATTTATAATAGTAATAACCCCTGGATTTGATAATAATAATAATAAGCCTTGCATTTGATATAGAGCCTTATCACGTCTTCGAGATGTCTCAAAGCCCTTCACAGAATATACTGTAAAGTGAATTGACTGTATATTATGTGGGTAAAACACAGCAGCCAATTGTGCACAGCAGCGTCTCACAAACAGTCGTGGATTGAGTGACCAAATTATTATTATTTTTTGAATTTAATTTCCTAGCTTGATCTGCAAAACAAGGCCGTCGCAAGGTGCAATTGATAAAATAAAGTACGGAGCAGAACAAAATGTCATTGACAGGTTCTAACAGGAATATTCAGATCTCTAAATGTGCTAGTTAATGCTAAGCAAGTTCTACTTCAAGAGAAGTTCGAGGTTAGCCACCTGTAGCTCATGTTATTCACCACAATACTGAACATCTTATGCTGGATTCAGAGCTAGGCAACCGGCCAGATGTTGTAACAGATCAGCATAGATTTGCCTTCAGATGAGGAACTAATCATATGACTTTAATCATCGGTTGAGTGCTGAATTCTTGTCAGCAAGAATGGGGAGGCTGCAGGGAAATAAGTCACCATTCACCGCGTGTGGGGGTGGAGGGAAAGGCTTTGTTTAGTGATTCCTGGGTGTTTCTGAGTAGTGCAAAGGATTTCAATTACATCCCAGAAACATGGGATTTCTGAGCATTTTGTCGTGAGTTGACGTAAAACTTCAGCCAAGTCTAGGTCTTCAACCTCATGTCAGGACATGAGTTCAATTTAGTGACACTCAGTGAATGGGGAACCGAAAATAACACAAGGGGGTGCATGTCATGAAGCTGATCTTGTAATAATGTTAATAATAATCCTTGCATTTAATATAGCGTCTGCGTATGTCATTGAGAGGTCTCAAAACTCTTCACAGGATTTGACTGTAAAGTGCAGTGACTGTATTTTGTGGGCGAAACACAGCAGCCAATTGAGCACAAGCAACGTCCAACAAACAGCAATGGGGTGAAAGGTGAGCGATCACATTTTTTAAACACTAATTTCAACATTAATGTAAACAATGCTTCATTACACTAACGCACCTGTTAGTTAATATTTCAACTGCATTCCCCCCACAAAAAAAATGGCTTTTGTGCAAGATCACATGTTTTTCACATTTCTAAAAGCTCTTAAAAAGTTCAACACGTATTAAAATTAGAACATTGGTTCAATTAAATATTACCTGGGGGAATATTTTAAATTCTCGGTTCATGATATTTCTTTCAGAGGTTGTGAGAAACATGTTTTTCTTTGTTCTTTGTTATGTTATTTTTTAAAAACAGGGGAAAATTGTTTTTTTCCCCTGATTGTAATTTTTGAAATACGCTTTGCCATCTTTTTCAAAATGTCTTTGCCAAACAACAACAACAACTTGCATTTAACTAGAAACATAGAAATTTATGGTACAGAAGGACCATATGAAATTTTAACCAGATGATTTTAACAATAATAATCCTTTAATAATAATTTGATATAGCGCCTTATCACGTCATTGAGACGTCTCAAAGCGCTTCATTGCATATACTGTAAAGTGGGTCGATTAACTGTGTATTTTGTGGGCGAAGCTAAATTTTACAATCAGATGAAAATAAAGTAAACTGCTGTTTTTTTTTAACCTACAGCATTCTGAACCGCATGTTTCTTTCAAGGGCACTAATAATAATAATAATAATAATCCTTGCATTTGATATAGCGCTTTTCATGTCGTGAGGACGTCCCAAAGCGCTTCACAGAATACACTGTAAAGTGAATTGACTGTATATTTGTGGGCGAACGCGGCAGCCAATTGCGCACAGTAATGTCCCACAAACAGTCGTGGATTGAAAATGACCAATTTATTATTGTTTTTGGTTTTGGAGGATTATTATTAGGCTCTGTGTGGAGTAAGGAAACTTGCCCAAGGTTTCGCCCTCTGCCGGGAATTGAACTCAGGTCTCTCACTTGCAAAGCGAGTGCTCTAACCACTGAGCTACAGGACTCCACAGGACTAAAGATTTTTAGAGGTTAAAATGAATGCCACTCATTTCTTCCAGAGCCTCCCCTAGCCTGGCCCTAAACAAGACGAAGTGAGTATCACAGGCGCAGAACTCAGACCAAGTTGGAATTATATCTTGCTGAATCTCACCATCTAGTGGTTTGTCAAATCATTCACACACTATGAGTGAACGCCTTCTGTGTGTGCGTGTGTGTGTGTGTGCGGAGATAGGGCCTAGTTTGCAACATTTCTTAATAAGAAAAGCACAGTTACTACATTTTAAAAACACTGACCACTGTGGAAGAACGCATTATTGAATTTCTAAACCATTATTGAATATATATGTAAAAACAAAGAATAATAATTTGGTCACTCAATCCACGACTGTTTGTTGGACGCTGCTGTGCTCAATTGGCTGCTGTTTTTCTCTCTCAAAATATACAGTCAATTACTTTACAGTATTATTTGTGAAGCGCTTTGAGACATCTCGAAGACGTGATAAGACTCTACATCAAATGCAAGGCTTATTATTATTATTATTATTATTATTATGGCTCACGAAGGGTCCCAGACTAGTTGGGCTGAATGTATTGTTTCCATGCTGTATAGTATTAGCTGAGCGTTCAAACTGAGGGTGGGAGCCGAGGTGAGTGGGAAGGAGTACAGTGTAATGACTGCGATTATAGGCAAACACGGCAGTCAGTTTGCACACACCAATGCCCCACAAATGACCAATTTAGAAGCGTAGAACCATTGAAAAATATGACGCAGAAGAAGGCCGTTTGGCTCATCGTGTCTGTGCTGCCTCCCTCAAGGGCAATCCTTTGAGTCCCGTTTCGCTGCTCTTTCCCCATCCACCTGTAGCTGACGTACATTTATGGTCACATGGAGGACAGATGGCCGGCACACCAGGAGAAACTCTTTTCTCTTTTCCAATAGTGTCATGCATTCGTTAATCTTTAACGTCCACCTCCATCAACAGATCCGGGTTTAACGTCTTGTCTGGATTGTTTTTTTTAAAAAAAAATTATCTTTTTTGGGGAGAAAATCAAAGTGGATTCACGCTTGAATTTTACCCTTGAAACAACAATGTCAGGCTTCCCGCTCTCATTGCTTGCAAACTATCTGTCACTTTGCCAATAGAAAGGAAACTTCAATTGTAACAGCTTGTACCTGGCTCCGGGTTTAATGGTCAAGGGCTAGTCTGAAACAAATCAAACCGCACTTCTGAAACAATGGAGCGCCNTTTTTTCCTGAGCATTTACAGCGACAACATTCAAATTGAACTTGCACAATGACTATACTTAGGAGAGTGATTGAGCACATGCTAAAGAGCCTTTGGGATCTGAGTTGCTAATTATTAACAGGATTCCTTGATCAGAAATGCAAATTGTTACAAATTAAAGACCCTTCCTGGTAATCTGCCATTTCCTGCTCCTCAGTTGATTGTAAATCTTTGTGCACGTCTTACGCTCAACAACCAGTGACATCTGTTTGGCGAAGAGTCTTTCATGTGGTACTTTGACAAGTGATTTTTGGGCAGCGAGGCGCGATACATAATGTGGCTTACTACAATCAATGTGCGATGCTATTTCCTCAACCAAAATGGTTAAGAGGCTGGTCAGAGAGGATTCACCTTCCCAGCCCGCCCCCCACTCCACCACCATCACCGCTTCCGAAATTGCTGTCATTTATTTAGTTATTTTGGGACGTCCTCCCGATGTGAAAGGCGTTACATAAAGGGTGGCCAAAAAGTCCTGATATCTACCCTGTCATCTAAAAGAAATATATATCATTTCTTTAAGACTTATTAGACATTGCAATGATATCACAACTTTTTGGTCACTCCGGTAAATATGAATGCAATTTGTTGTTGTTACTTTCATACACATAATCTTCCGTTTGCTTTCAATGATCAACGCTCCTCTGACAATTCCTCAGATGCTTCGTCGAAATTCAAAATGTCCCATCTTTTGCAGTTTTGCTCGGTCGGCCCCCCCCACCCCTCACCCCATCGTTTTCTTATTCTTTTCAAGGAGCCCAAACCTGGAATTTGTTCCCTCGCTTCCATCTACTCTTCTTATAACTTTACAGACTTTCAAAACAAACCGCCATTTCCTGTTGTACCCAGTCTCCTTTGCTGCCCTGCGCCAAGACCATTGACCTTCGTTGCAAAAATATTTACTCAAACTCAAGTGCGGAGTTTAGCTTTTGTGCGCCTTTGTGAGCTGGATTGGATGCAGTCTAATCCAGTCAACAATATCCCTTGTTTGCTTTGTTTGTCACCATGGCTCAGTTGGTAATACTCTCACCTCCAATAATGTGGATTTGAGACCCACATCAGGACTTTGTACTTACGGTTTGGGCTGAAACACCTGCACGATGCTGGGGGAGACCTGCATTGCTGGAGTTGCCGTCCTTCAGCTGAGATGTTAAAGCGAGGTCCTGTTTGCACGCTCTGGTGGATGTTAAAGGTCCCATGGCATTACTCCAAAAAGGGAAGGGAGGTCCTCTGATTATTCTGGCCAACAATCTCCCAGACAAAATCGGTCATTCACTTCACACTGGTGTGTGGGACATTGACTATTGGCAAATTGTCAATAGTCCTACACTTTACCGTAACTCCTTTGACGTTCTTTAAGACGTGTTAATATTCCACAGGGAAAGATTCAGAAGCAAAATACAGAGTTCACACATCAATCAATATTAACGAAGCCAAATTGAAGAATTTTTTTTATTGGAAACAGTTGTGTAAACTTGTTAGAGTCAGTTACAACTCTGTCGTATGAATGTACAGTATATACAGGGGTGTGGGGATGTGGAGGGAAGATGTCTGTTCTTATTAGGAGAGACATCACTGAGCTTTGTTTTAATACAAAGTACCTGAATCCAAAGTGAAATGATTCAAACCTACGACAAGACTCGAGGAAAAATCAGTGAACAGACCAAACAAATGCGTGGCTTTAATGCCATCTAATACCATTTAATGCCATCAAAAATGTAGTTTAAAAAATATTGCTGACGTCCCAGTTCAGCAGAGGTCTCTCGTCTTGAAGTGGTTTGTAAGTGACCCAATATATATTCATCGAAAAATGTGCATCTCTCTCTCTGCATTGGCACAAGTGACTTTGTATCCATACGGTACCTAATCTATAAATTTGTCACCATTACAATGCATCGTCTTTTTTCTTTCTCCGACTGTTTCTTGTACTAAAAATCCAGTATTAAGTAAAATTAAGTAGTATCATAAAGAATATTTGCTGGGCCACATGTCACACGCTTAGAATGGTCAGTTGCTTAAGACAATAGTTTCTGGATTGTGCACTCCCTCTGGAGCTTACGAGAATTGCTGGAGAAGAAATCTTACAGGATTGTTTTGTGTTCGCATTTGACCGCTCTACTTTGGCTCAAAGAATGTCACCTGGATTAAACAGAGAACAACGTCTCCGTTAGCTGATATCTTACGATAGCGTATTTTGCTTTCTCCAAGAGAGGTGGTTCACATTTCTTTTTAAATAATCTCGCGGTACAAGTGGAATTGAAGAACAGTGGTACGTTTGCATGGACCTTATACTGAACAGATTTAGTCATTAAAAGATTGTGCCCTTGAATAAAGTGATAAGATAACTGCTAATGTACCCTCTCCCTATAAATATCAGGGAATAGGCAGGCAAAACATCATACACATACAATATGAAACCCACATCAGACAGACTTCACGACAGGTCCACCAGAACTATATTTATAGGGAAGTGGCCCTTGTTGAACGGTGACAATATTCGGTTGCGAATATCCAGAACTTGACTCACTGGCACTGACTCAGAGGTAAGTTACGAGTAGAACGTTTGTAGTGGAGGATATTCAGAATAAAAGCAAGAGATTCTTTCCCTTAACGCAGCTTCCTTCTTCCATGACTGGCCTTAGACTCGGGGTGGTGAAGGCAGCAACGCAAAGTGTCAGGCACGCATTCTCGATCATGTCCCGTTGGCCCATTTTAACACAACTTGATGACAGTCTCCTCAAGGGATGTGTTGATGAGATGAGGCCTCGGTCCTACTGATAGCATTGGGACAGAGCCCGGGAGAACATGGCAGGTGAGAGGGAAAGGGACGTGTGTGTGTGTGTGTGTGTGTGTGGACTGTGTGTGTGTGGGGGGGGTGCGGGGGGGCTAGTTCCATGGACAAGCTTCAACATGTTGTATAAACAACCTATAAATAGCTCGTTTGAAAGCAGAAACGTTTAATATATCTTAAAATTAGCAACGTATAAAAAAAAAGAGATGCACTGTGCTATTGCACTAAGACTCTGGTAGAATTCAGTCACACGGGAGCTCTTTGATGGGTGGGTCTGTAGCTTCCTCTGTGTGGCTGATCTGTTTGTATAGAAACTGATAGTCTTTCCGTGGTTGGCTCCTCTGGAGGATGGACTTGAGGTTGTGAGGCACGGCCTCAGTCGCGAGCTGCAGACACTTCTCGTCCACGAGAACGAACAGGTGGTAGTCATCCGGGTCGGTCACCCCAAACTTCTCCGCGCACTGAACGCAGAGCTCCTCCGCCGTGCTCTCTGGCTTAATCGCAAACGTCTTCACGTCGCATCCGACATCCAGGAAGGACACGCTCAGGAAATCCTGCCAGTGACAGTGACAACAACAATAATAATGATAATAATCCTTGCATTTGATACAACGCCTTATCACGTCTTTGAGATGTCTCAAAGCGCTTCACAGGATACACTGTAACAACAACAACAACTTGGATTTATATAGCGCCCTCCACGCCGGACGGCGTCTCAGAGCGCTTCACAGTAACGGATCCCGGGGCCGAGCCGGGGGGAGGGAGGTCGAGCCAGGGGGAGGGGGCAGGGGGGGGAAAGTGACTAAAGGCGCAGTCGAAAAGAAAGGACTTCAGCTGAGACCTGAAAATGAGAAGGGATGGGGTGAGACGAAGGGAGTGAGGAAGGCAGTTCCAGAGCCTCGGGGCATAGTGGCTGAAGGCACGGCCGCCGAGGGTGGAGCGGAGGACTCGGGACGAGGAGGAGGCCAGACCCGGAGGAACGAAGGCAACGGGCACTGCTGTGAGAAGAGAGGAGGTCAGAGAGGTTGGGGGGTGCAGAGGAGTGGAGGGATTTGACGACAAGGGTGAGGATCTTGAAGTCGATCCTCTCTGGGACAGGCAGCCAGTGCAGTCTGGCCAGGACTGGGGTTATCGGGGACTGGAGTTTGGTGCGGGTGAGAATGTGGGCAGAGTTTTGAATGATTTGGATTTTATGGATGGTAGTGGAGGGGAGACTGGCGAGGAGGGCGTTGGAGTAGTCCAGCCAAGAGGTGACAAAGGCATGGACCAGGGTTTCAGCAGCTTTTGGGGAGAGGTATTGGCGTAGACGGGCAATGAGTCGGAGGTGAAAGAAAGTGGTGCTGGTGAGAGACTGGATGTGGGGGAGGAAGGATAATTGGGGATCGAACCTGAGGCCGAGGTTGCGTACAGGTTCAGAGAGCTTTAGGGGGAGGTCGGGTAGGTGGAGGAGGTGAGAACCATGAGATTTTAGACGTTGACGAGAGGCAAAGAGTATGGCTTCCGTCTTGTCAACGTTCAGCTGAAGGAAGTTTGCGCTCATCCAACCCCTGAGGTCTGACAGGCAGAACATCAGGGGACTGGGGGTCGCAAAAAGAGGTGGAAAAATAGAGTTGGGTATCATCCGCGTACATGTGTAAATGTACCCCATGTCTGTGGATGACATCCCCAAGAGGGAGCATGTAGATCAGAAAGAGGAGGGGGCCAAGGATGGATCCTTGGGGTACGCCACAGGTGACCGGGTGAGAGCGGGAGGAGAAGCTGTTGGTGCAGATGTACTGCTGGTGGTTTGTGAGGTAGGGCTCGAACCGGGCGAGTGCGGTCCCACTGAGGTGGATGACGGAGGAAAGGCGGTGGAGGAGGATGGCATGATCGGCTGTGTCGAACGCGGCGGAGAGGTCCAGGAGGACAAGGAGGCAGAGGGAACCCTGGTCACAGATAGAGAGGATGTCGTTTGTGACTTTCACAAGTGCAGTCTCTGTACTGTGAGCGGAAACCGGACTGGAGGGGTTCGAAGAGGGAGTGGGAGGAGAGGTGTGCGCGGAGTTCATTGGCAACAATGCGTTCTAGAACTTTTGAGAGGAAGGGCCGGTTAGAAATAGGGCAGTAATGGCTGGGGTTTGAGGGATCTCGGGAGGGTTTTTTCAGGAGGGGGCTGATGACAGCAGTTTTGAGGGGGGCAGTGACTGATCCGGAGGAGAGGGACTGGTTGATGATGTCAGCCAGTAGTGGGCAGAGGAGGGGGAGCTGGGTGACTAGTATACTGGTGGGGAGGGGGTTAAGGCAGCAGGTGGTGGGTTTCATGGAGGTGATGGTGGGTGAGAGGGAGGAGGGAGAGATGGGGAGGAAGGAATGTAGAATGGGGGTCGTGGTAGGAGCAGATGATGAGGAAGGAGAGGGGGACTGAGAGGGCGTGGTGGTGGGTTACAAGGGGCAGGTGGATGAGACTGCCTGGCGGATGTTGAGTATTTTAGATGAAAAGAAGTCCTTGACCTCCTCGCACTTGGCATTTGATATCAAGATTGAGGAGGCCTGAGGGGGGGCACGGAGGGGGTAGTGGGTGGTGGAAAAAAGGATTTTAGGGTTGTGTTTAGCCTCCAAGATGATGTTGGAGTAGAAGGCCGTTTTTGCGCGTGTAGCTATGGAGATGCTCGAGCCACAGTTGGTGGACTGTCAGGCCAGTTTTCTGCCATCTGCATTCGAGTAGCCGGGTTTGGGTTTTTTGGCGGCGGAGATGGTTGTTGTACCGGGGGGATCAGGTGGGTTTGGAGATGGTTCTGGATTTTAGGGGGACGAGTGAGTTGAAGGTGGAGGAGAGGCGATCATGGAGCAGCTGGATGGCTGCTTCAGGATCTCCGCGGGTGGAAGGCCAGAGGGATAGGATGTTTGATGATGAGAGGGCCTTTGTGAGGATCTCAGGGGGTAGCCTTTTCCAAGAGCGGTAGAGGATGGTTGATGGCTTGGTGGAGGAGAGAGGGATGTGAGAGGAGGAGATGAAAAAGTGGTCCAAGGTGGCCTTGTCCACTATGCTGAGGTCGGAAATGTCAAGGCCGTGGGTGATGAGAAGGTCAAGTGCATGACCACAGTTGTAGGTGGGTGAATTTATATGGAGGGTAAGGTTTAGGGAGGAGAGGAGGGCAGTGAAATCGGCAGAAGTGGTGCAAATCACCCATTATGAGCGGGTGCTCGGAGCAGAGGGACAGGGAAGAGAGGAGAGATGTCTTTGTGGAAGGAGCCGGGGGGCTTAGGGGGACGGTAGACAAGGAGGATTTTCAAAGGGAGAGAGGGGTGGAAGAGGGTGAGATGCTCGAAGGAGGGGAAGCAGCCAGAGGAGTAGGGGATGAAACCAAGGGAGGTTTTGGAAATGAAGGCCACCTCACTGCCACGTTGGTTTGGACGGGGGGTGTGGTGGAAGGTGTAGCTTGGAGGGGAGGCTTCCACTAGGGGGACGGGGTCATTGGGGGAGAGCCAAGACAAGACAAAGTGCTTGTCCAGGATGAGGTCGTGGATGGTGAGGGCTTTATTTGAGAGGCAACGGACATTTTGGAGGGAAATGCGGGTGGGTTTGCAGGAGGGGGGAGAGGGAGGAGAGAGTGGTGCGGAGAGGAGTTTGGGTTGAACAGGAGAGATGGTTGTAGAGGGTGATGTGAGTGAAAAGTTGGGGAGGGTACGTATGAGGGAGGGGGGAAGTTGGGTTTGCCTTAAGGAGGCGGTTTGAGTGGAGGGAGTGAGTGATGGGACACGTGGGGTTGCTGCTCTGGGACAGCCAGTGCCGGGAGCCACGATGGGCCCAGCGGAGGATGCCCAGGCTGGAGAGAGAGAAGGCGGGGAGGGCGGTGGGAGAGAAGGACAGAGGGGGAGTAGCAGATAGAGGGGGGTGGGAGGAGAGACATAGAGGGGGGCGGGAGGAGAGACATTTAGAGAGGAGGGGGAAACTTGCCCAACATTTCGCCCTGCCCGGGAATCAAACCCAGGTCCTCTCGCTTGCGAGGCGAGTGCTCTAACCACTGAGCTACAGGTCTCCAATGACCGGATAAAACACAAACACGCAAACTTAAAGCTCGCAAGGTTCGGAAGAAGAAAGCCCTTTCGGACCATTTGATCTCAACCTTCCAGAATACCCACCCTTCCCTCTTCTCATCTTTTTAAAAAATATCTATAAATCATTCCGGTATCTTAGCCTCAACCACCTTTCCTGGTAACCTGTTCCAGTTGTTAATTCACTCCCTGAAGAAAGAAATGCTTCCTGGTGTTGGAAGCCCTTTGCAACCCTTAACGTCAGTGTGAGAAATGGTTTTAAAAAGGGAATTTGATCGGTGTTTGGTTTTTTGAAAAATACGATATTGAGGAGGTCAGCGAGTGAGCAGGAGAGTGGGGTTAGACAAGGTGGTGGATAAAAGCACCAGCGATACTAGACTATCTGTACTTTGATCCTGTGAGCTATGCTATGTTATAAGATAGCATGCATGTACACACGCAAACACTTTCGTACGCATACATACACCCCCCCATCCCACCCCCCCCACACACACACAACATACGGGCGCCCACACACACACAACACACACGCGGGCAAATCTCAGATGTATCGCAGTTTAATTATAACACCTTCCTTGACCTGGCTCATTTGCCTATAAACTTCAGGAGGGACTGGTTGAGCTGAATGGCCTGTTTCTGTGCTGTAAATCTACTTAATTCATCTCCCTAACGTGACACTGACCTGCACTGATACTCTCGACATCTGCTTCATGTTCAGAGTCCTCCTCCTCTGCCACTCGTGGATCGAATCCTGCACCTCATGGCTGAGCTGCCGGGTGGCAGCCTGTTTGTCAAAGTGTTTAATGTGATGCAAAGCTCCGTACGTCGTCGTGAGGTAATAATATCCTGAAACGGAACAACCACCAGCAATAGATTTATATATATTTTTTTAAAACGCTGAATAAATTTAATGTGCCGTAACGTCAAGGTATCTGGGATGAGAGTCTGTTACTTTAATTTATCAGTGGCTGTGGTTCCGTTGATTTGTCTTCTTCTTTTTACCCCCTCTTCAATCTACCCCCGTTCCCCATCTGAAACCACTCGCTTATTCTTGCTGCCAGATGCCGCCCAAACCTCCCACATTCCCACTTCCTCCTCAAGTAAGTTTCTGTCTCCCTTTCAAACATCCCAATGAATTCTGCCTCCATAGCCTTCCAAGGCGACGCACTCCACAGCCCTCTGTGTGAGGAAATACTTTCTGACCTCCCTTCAATCCGCTTTAGCTCAACGTTTTGCGATGATGTTACTTCATAGTCCATATAAGGGGCGATAATCGAGCTCGTCATATAGCCTTCATCTTGATCAACAACAACAACAAAATTACATTTGTATGTAGCGTCTTTCACGTCGGGAGCACCTCCCAAGGCGCTGGACAGACAGAGTTATGATCGATCTGAGGGAGATCCTGTATGTCTCACAGCAAGATTCTCTTACGGAAACCAGCCCAAGATGGAAGGGAGGGCCCTGTGGTTTGCCAATTGAAGTAACTCAATAAAACAGATGGGGAGGTTTATCTTATCCACAAAAAAACTAAATAAACCAGCCACTTTGAATAGCCATTAGTTGGGGGTGTGTTTCAAGTCTGGCCCTTTGACCCCAGACAGGATGTGAGTGCTGTGGGTGGTTGTTGGATCCAAACAGACACAGAAAGAAGGGAGTTTAGTTGATACTGAAGCCTGCCGATGGGCTGATGGATCAAGCAAAATAATTGCAGAGGTCTGCTGACTCTATGGGGTGTGAGTGTGGGTCAGAATCAGTCAGCACTTCGGGACGTTCTCCTGACGTGAAAGGCTCTGCATCAAACACGAGGATTATTATCGTTATTATCAGGACTGTTAGAAATCCCTCTGCTCTTGAATTCAAGTCACCTTTGCGCGGGCCCCGGAGAACGAGAACGAAGCTTGCACTAACCATCGGTCTGCTGGTACGAGGGCATAAGTAAACCTGCGGCTTAATTCCTACCCTTGAATGCGAGACGAATGCCGTTGGATGTGTTTTGGTTTTATCTGACGTGCATTCCCAGCAATGGCCACCAAGTGGTGCAGTTGACACGAGCGCACGATGGACAACAGTCTGCGCCGGAGCAAAGCCATACGTACCCTCTCCCAGATGCAGAGAAGGATCCAGTAACTCCATCATGTACTCCACATCCAGAAACAGGGAGGTCAGGTTGCTCCTGGCCAGCACATACATCAGCACCGGGAGGAAGTCATCAGCCCCATGTACCTTTCCTAAAAGGAAAAGCAGAATTATAATCCAACAATAATCCTTGCCTTTGATATGGCGCTTTTCACGTCCTCGAGACGTCTCAAAGCGCTTCACAGAATAAACTGTAAAGTGAATTGACTGCATATTTTGTGGGCGAGACGCGGCAGCCAATTGCGCACAGCAGCGTCCCCACAAACAGCCGTGGGTTGAAGTGACCAATTTATTATTGTTTTCTTTTCTTGAGGGATTATTGTCAGGCGTGTGGAGTAAGGAAACCTGCCGGGAATCGAACCCAGGTCTCTCACTTGCAAACCGAACTGTCCTGTCACCAGTGAATTACCATCGCAGGCCTAAGATGATCGCTTTCCAAGGTCTTCGTTCAGCTTTGTTGTGCCTTCACAGTTTTTTGGGGGAGTTAAAAATCGCACAACACCACAGTATTTGAAAAGGGAAGGGAGTTTCTTCTGGTGTTGCAGCCAACAACCCTCCAGATGAATCAGTCATTCAACTCATGAATGTTTGTGGGGCCTCACTGATGCAAATAGCCACCACATTTACTTACAAAGAATTACCTTTACCAGTAATTGTAACACACACTCAGTATGTTTTGTCAGCGACTCACTGTGTATTTTGTGGGCGAAATGTGGCAGCCAACTTTTGATAAGGTGCTACATATATAGATATATATAGATATAAAAAATGAAACTGTTCTTTCTTGGACTAGGTGTCAGCCTGGCTCAGTCGATAGCATTTTCAATCTGAGTCAGAAGATTGTGCGTTCAATTGCTTGAAACGTCATCGGGGATTTTCAGGACACAACCTAGGCTGACACTCCAGTGCAATCCTGAGGGCTGTTTGTTCCCCCAGATGAGACATTAAACCAAGGTCCCGTTAAAGATGCAATGGCACTATTCGAGAAGAGATGGGAGCTTCCTCTTTGCTGTGTGCAAAATTGGTCACTGTGTTTACCACCCACCTAGCACAGCCCCAGAGCTGCACTGCAGTCTCAGGCCAGACTAAATGAGTTCAAAGTCCTGACTCACAACCTTCTGACTCAGGGGCACGAGTGCAGTCAATGACTCTGAGCCAGCCTGACACCAATAAATGATGCTAACTTAGGAAACTTAGAAAGGTTTTATTTCGGCAATTGCCTAAGCTTATCTAGTGGTGGTTTATAAATTCCTTTCTGTTCCACTGAACTCAGCGTCATGGGCCCAGATGATACCCCACATCACGTGGCAGCTTGAAACTAACGCCACACTGCACGCAACTGTAATAAAACAATAATAATAATCCTTGCATTTGATACAGCGCCTCATCACCTTCTCCAGACGTCTCAAAGCGCTTCGCAGGATATACCATAAAGTGAACCGACTGTGTGTTTTGTGGGCGAAACGCAGCAGTGAGAACAGAGACACTGTTGGTGTACCAGAGATGGGTGACTGAAATTCACTTTGAAAGTTCAGCTGCGCTCAAACCAGGCTGCGTTTGATTAAAAAAAAAGCAGATTGAGCCTCAGCGTTTGGGGATGTACAAGTCACTTGAAAAGAGCTATTAAAAGATGTGCAGGTCTCTGCCTCAGCCCGTCTGCAAAGCTATTTCTGCGGTACTTCCTGAGAAAATTAAAAACTGCTAACGGAGCACTTTGAAAAGAAACCTCATTTGGATCTCTTTTAGTTCCTTGCTTTTTTAATATATATTTATACATAATAGGTTCTGGGCTGTAAATGTGTAGCTTGAGGCTGACAAGAGACGTGATGTCCCCACTCTCCAGTTGGAATCAATGAACACAAGAACAACAACTTGAAATTAAAGTGCGCCCCTCACACAGGGCTACTGTCAGAGAGTTTGACCATTAGCATTCACCTGAACAGACCTCAATATAATGTCCCAACAGAAGTGTGGCACCTTTACCAATTGTAACCCTGCCCTCACTACCATCACGGGAGTGTAAGACTAAGCTATGAGCCCAAATACAGATGTGGGACTTGAACCTATGATATCCTGAGCTAGAGGTGAGAGTGCTACCAATTGAGCCACACTGAAACGCTAGAATATCTGGTGAGTAGAGCTCGAGATGGAGGGAACTGTCATTAAACCGAATCATGGAGCGAAGAAGGTATGTAATCAGCCTCCAAGAAGCGCACTGCTCAGAGAGCAATGGTGAACAGGTAACATTTGCGTAGTGGTTATTTACGAATGGAAATGTTTCACCACAGTCACCACCTCCCCAAGTAAGACATTGCATTTGCTGCTCATCGGATGCATCGCTGCTGGGAGTGTCACTTATTTTGACATCGTCTAATATAAAAATTATTATCTATCCATCAAAATAATTAATTTAATCACAAGGACACAGTAGACTTGCTCCACCACTCGTTCCACTCTTCATCACTTTGTGGAGTCCTGTAGCTCAGTGGTTAGAGCACTCGCTTTGCAAGTGAGAGACCTGAGTTCAATTCCAGGCAGAGGGCGAAACCTTGGGCAAGTTTCCTTACTCCACACAGAGCCTAATAATAATCCCTCCAAAACCAAAAACAATAATAAATTGGTCATTTTCAATCCACGACTGTTTGTGGGACATCGCTGTGCGCAATTAGCTGCCGCGTTCGCCCACAAATATACAGTCAATTCACTTTACAGTATATTCTGTGAAGCGCTTTGGGACGTCCTCCCGACGTGAAAAGCGCTATATCAAATGCAAGGATTATTATTATTATTATTATTATTCATCAGGAAAACACATCAAAGGAAATACATCCGTCTAAACCAACGACTTGTGAACACTCAATCAACCAGAGTGTTACATTGGGGGGGGGGGGAAACCATCCATAGTGTCACTACAGGAGGTTACAGGGTGACTCTTAATAGCAGCTTCTGCTGGTCACAGGCAACCTGTCCCTCTGATGGCGTGAACTCTACTCCCATTGTAATAGGGTTCTGCTTATCAACAAGAGTTGCTACTTGTGACATTGCCAGTCTCAATTGGAGGCTTGCTATGATTTGATCTATATAAGTGTCCCATGCAGCTTCACAGGCAAATGCTGTCAATTTGCAGCGACTGTGCTCTTGTAGGCAGACATGACAGCTGATTTGCAAGCGCACAGCAAAGTCCCGCAATCAGCCACGGAATGAATGATCAGTTTTTCCTGGAGGATTGCCGACTATCATCCGGGTGAGGATGGGATCTTTAACGTCCAACCGAGAGGGCAGATGGGAACTCAGCTTAATGTCTCATCCGAAGCATGGAATCTCTGCCCTCGCACTGCGTTGGACAATCATCATCATCAACAACAGCAGGTTGCATTTATATAGCACCCTCATGCAGGGTAGTGTCCCAATGCGCTTAACCTGACTTTGACCCTCTTGAACAAAAAGTACCGCCAAAAAGGGGGTTAATTCTAGATCAGGATGGATCAGCACCAGGGGGCAAATTGCTACCGAGGAATCTGAGGTGAAACAGTACTCTTTATGTGAAGCACAATGTAGCTTTTAAAGCGTATTCCAGTCAGTCCGTGAAGACAAGCTACTCTTTGTAAGCCAACGATATCCATCTCTTGCCTCAAAAGCCAGGCTGATATTTTTAGTTTGCCGGACACGGTTTCTTTTTCTGCTTTGAGAAGGAAAATATCAAAGAGAAACTGAAGTCCAGTGAGAGTACAATGATGTTCAAAGTACTCCCAGCAGAACCGGAGAAAATTAAAAAAAAAACTAAGACAGAAGATATTTACTGTAAACGAGGTCCTTGGGTTTCTTTTTCGTTTGCTCAGGCACATGTCCGACTCAAATCTCTTTCAGCGCCAGTGATGCCTTGGGACGTCCTCCCGACATGAAAGGCGCTACACAGATGTAATTTTGTTACGTATCAAAGGGTTTTTCATAATGTGACTATCAACGACTTGGACATATAGCGGCCGTCACAAAGAACTAAACCTTGAAGCACCTCACGGCGATGATGGGGATCATCGAGTGAGGAGGAAAAGACCAGGAATTTGAGGGTTTGACCAAAGGCACGGGTCCAAAACAAATGTTTGTCTAGCCGTCAAGTTTGCTAATGTGGGCTCTCTGGGTTTGATTCTCGGCAGGAAGAAATGTCGGGCAAGTTTCCTTGCTCCACGCACCTCTGTTGACCTAGCAGTAAGTAGGAACCTGGTTGTTAGTCGGTTGGTGGATCGCTTTTCCGGGGTTAATAATTCCTTCAAAATCACTAAAAATAATTTGGTCGCTCAATCCACCACCGTTTTAGGACGCTGCTGTGCGCAATTGGCTGCCACGTTTCCCCCCACAAAACATACAGTCAATTCACTTCACAGTATATTCTGCGAAGCGCTTTGAGACGTCTCGAAGACATGGTAAGGTGCTATATCAAACGCCAGGGATTATTATTGTTATTTATTATTATTATAACAAAATACCGGAAGGAAAAATTGAAACGTCGTCACGATGTAACAGCAAACGTCAAAAAAAAAAAAGAATTGTAATGTAAATGATTACCAGGGTTTCCAGCAGACATCGAATCGTAAATCAGCTTGCAGAACTTGAGCAAGTAGTTGACCTTCTTGTCTGGTGAATAGGCCTGGTGCATGGCAGTGAACTTCTGTTGTATTTTCTCCAGCAGACTGACTTCAGGCACGCAGGTGGTCACCCCCAACTCTGTGGTGGTCGTATTCTGCACAATCTGCTGGTTCTCCTTCAGAAGCTTCAAGGTGCCGTTCCTGGAGTGGATTTCCTTCAGCTGCGAGTTAACCTGCTCCTTCAAGGGCTTGAGCACACACTTGCACAGTGCTGCCTCCACCACGGCCTCTGAAGCAGGAGAAAGAAAAGGGAACAGGGTTTGCGTACATCACAGGGTAGGGTGGTCGTAGTTTAGTCAAGCAATGGGGAAGCTTGACAGGCAGTGTTTTCAATGGCAAGTTTTGCCAGGGGTGGCGGGAGGTGGGGGGTGGCGGGGGGGGGGTGGGGGGGTTGATTCACTTTAAAGTATATCCTGTGAAGTGCTTTGAGACGTCTCGAAGATGTGATAAGGCGCTACATATAAAATGCAAGGATTATGATTATTATTATTGTTATTAACAACACAGCGAAATCTATTCATTTATTCAATTGAAAGAAATTTACTTTGGAGCCAACTTGTTGGGAGTGCAACTCTATGTTTTTCTGGTCCTTGTACATTTCTATGTTCCTATAAAATAAGGATTTAAGTTTAAAGAAATGTGAAGGCATTGTGAACAGATCACTTCCCCCAATGGTCCAGAATAATTATTTTAGGCCACAATTTGTTCAGTTGTGACAATTTGCACAGAGACTCTTTGCGTTTCAAAGCATTTCACAGGATTTGATGTAAAGTGTAGACTGTATATTTTGCAGCAGCCAATTTTACACAGGAACGTAATTTCTTGTTGTAGCTATTGTTTTCAAAGGGGAATTAAAAAGAAACGAAAAGTGAGTTTTTACCTAACTTTTCTTCGGATTGATAAAATTGATCCACCACTGACTTCAGCTCTGTGCTCTGCAACAGGTAACTTTTCAGCTGGGTCATCATCTGACGGATTTCCTGTAGCAGCTCCGTGCTGGAGGTCTGGTTCCCCAGCGTCTCCAACGTGTAGGTTTTGTAGTCCTGGACCAGGTGGCCAAAGTAAGACTCTTTCTCCTGAGCAAGTACCGTTATCCTCTTCTGGATCTTCCTGTCCGTCGAACGAAAGGCGTTGAAAACGTTGCTCAGAGTCACTATGGACAGTCGGTTCTTGGCCTTGTCTAAGATGATGGAGTGGCGCTTGTTCTTGGAGCGCGATGGAGATGTCACAGTCTCCAGCTCTTCCTCTGTGCTGCTCGTGGAGTAGGAATCTGGCTCTGAGACAGGGGTCATTTGATTATTTTCAGTCGAGTAAAGGGACCCGTCAGACAGCTTGAAATTGGTGAGGTTCCCGGAGTCCACGCATTCACTCCTGATAGGGGTCGAGGGGCCCATTAAACTCCGTGCTGAGGAGTTAGAAGTGTCAGGCAACTGAACATTTAGTTCACCCGTCTTTTCGTCGTCTGCCTCTTTGATTTCCTGTCCTTCCAGAATACATTCTCCTCGAGTCTTCTGCCAGTCCCAGCCGACCTGCCTGGACATCTTTTTTCTTCTCGGAGGTGCGACAGGCACAGGTTGACCTGAGCTGTTCCTCTTCTGCTCGACTCCGGGTGCCCCCGAGGAGATGTTGTTCGGGCTTTCAGGAACAGCGCTCAGTGTTTCTGCGTGCGGCTCACGTCGGTCATCCGCTTTAAGGTCGATGAGGTCCTCCACTGGCAGCGTCCTGCTGTTCTCAGACTGCAAACTGTTCTCCGCATTTTTAGCACTACACATCTCTTCTTCGGAAACTCGTGTGACCTCCTCAGTCTTGTTGTCGCTAGCTTCTATGTACAGCTTTTCTGACAGACGGCGCCTGGGCGGTATTGGAGGAAGTCTGAAATAACTCTGAGTTTTGCCACCGTCTGCGTTGATTTCGATCTCTTTGCCCCCTCTACCCGGCTCCTCACTCTGCTCCGCTAACCTAACGTCACTCTTCAGGACTTTGATTTCTTCACTCAATAGCCTCGGCCTCTCACCATTCGTGTTCCTCTTGTCACCTTTACAGCTGCCGGACAGTGCAGAAAGCACTTCCGTCGGCTTTGGCCGGGGAGGGAGCGGGGGAGCTCTCTTGCTCTTGAGACCCATATTGATTCCGAAGTTTGAACTTTGGGCAGAGGGCGGTGAAGATGGTGGTGAACTCGGTGGAGAAAAAGAAGGGGCAGCGCTGCAGTATTCTTTGATGAACACTGGATTGACAAACCACAACTTATCATTTCCGACTGACAGCTCAATCTCACATGAGCATTGCCTTTTGTCTGTGGGGAAGCACGAGTTGGATTTCTGGCTGTGGGTTTGGCTGTCAGTGACATTCAAGCCTTTGGCTATCGAGGAACTTCCTTCCCTGAACCTTCTGTTCACGTCTGAATTCCAGAACTCTAACGGGGAGAACACAACACACAGGGAACCTTTTATTCAAAGGTAAGGTAAATAGGAGTAAATGAGGTGATCTACCAATAGATATTTTTAGTGGATTAATGTTGACTTGTTCCCAATTAAACATTAATGTGCATCCAAGTTATTAAATGAAGTTCTCAAGTTAAACTGTAGCATTTCTATTGGAATCTACATTGGAACTTTTTGTGCTCATTTCGATTAATTATTACCCAAACTGTGGCAGATTCAGGGAAATACCTATTTTCCTGGGGCAGTTGGGTTCTGCATCCGTGCAGCTCCCTCAGTTATGGTGAAGCGATCAGTATTATACGGTGAATTGCTAGCTCTCAGGAGCAGGCAGCCCTGTCACGGAAATATTAAGCGGAAACTATAAATATGACACTTTTCCCCCAAAAATGTAAAAATCAGAAGCTTGTTCTGCCCTCTCTTGTCCGTTCCACCGAAGGAGATGATACAGATGTCACAATTTCAGATGCATCGAGTGGCAATGCAACTGAAATGCTGAGCATTATAACAACACTGAACTGAGGACGGGTGATTCTGTTCCAACCGCTACACCTACAGTGTATCATACACATCAATTTTATTTTACAGCATCGTAACACCACTTAAGGTAAAGCGTACCTATTCCCAGGTGTGAAACAATATCCAGTTCCTCAGAGTTAGTGGCTCCTGCTATGGCCAGGGGCAAGGCTAACGTAGTTGGCAACACATCTCTGCAATCACAAGAAACAGGTACACAAGTGAGTCTTTCCAGTTAGATACAGTGGTGATGGGTAATAAGACATGAAGTACTGAACAACAACAGCAACAAATTAAATTTACACAGCGCCTTTCACCTTGGAAGGATATCCCAAGGTGCTGGACAGTCAGGGATTTGGACCTGAGCGGGGGTGGGTGGGGGAGTGGGCTGGTGGGGGGAAGGGATAGGATCAAGAAGGGTGGAGGTCGGGGAGGATAGGGGTAGGAGGGTGACCAAAGGCGCGATCGAAGATCAGGGTCCTGAGATGTGCCTTGAAGGAGGGAAGGGAGGGATCGAGGTGAAGGGAATGGGGTATGAAGTTCCATAGGGTGGGGGCAGAGAAGCTGAAGGCCCGATCGCTGACAGTGGGGCAAGCTGGGCGGGGGACATGGAGCAGGCCGGAGCCCGCTGAGCGGAGTGAGCGGAATTGCAGTCTCAACACCGTGATAAGGCGCTTTATCAAATGCAATGATTATTATTATTGTTACTAGCGAGAGTCAGTGTTTCAGTCAGCACCCTGCTCCTGTCATTAACTATCCTTTGGGTCAAGAAAAACTTCCTGGCGTCTGTTTTTTCTGAAATTGCCCGTAGCAACTTTTAAACCCACGTGCTCTTGTGCTCCTCCATTAGTACATCTTCGCATATTGTCCAGAAGCTCACCTGCTTACACAGTAAAATGCCACCATTTTGAAGATATCTTCAAATACCAATAAAGATCCATCCAGGTGCATGACTGAAAGGAAGAATGAAGAGTCTTTAAAGCGTTGGAATCGACTGCGATAATCTACACATCATTGGCAAAATGACAACTCAAACACTGTTACTGTTATCCCACAGCAAAGCTCAGCAACAACAACAACGATGACAACGATGACAGCCGGGGGGAAAGGGACGGGGGAGGTGACCGTAAGCACGACCAAAAGGAAAGTTCTTTAGGTGGGACTTGAAGATGGGGAGGGAGGAGGGGGCAAGGCGGAGGGTTTGAGGGAGAGAGTGACAGAGCTTCAGGGAGGAGTGGCTGAAGGTTCAGAGGGGATGAGGGATGGACAGGAGGCCGGAGCCAGCCGAGCGGAGGCAGCGGGTGGTGTAGTGGTGGTGTAGTGTGGCAGGTCGGAGAGGTAAGGAGGTGCCAGGGCATGAAGGGGATCTGAAAACAAGTGAGAGGATCTTGAAATCGATCCGTTCGGAATTTGGGAGCCAGTGGAGCCTGGAAAGGACTGGTGTGATGGAGGTACATCTCTAACTAGGGTGCTCCGAGATGCTGCTCCACATGAAAGGGCACTATATAAATGCAAGTTGTCGTCTGTGTTATATCTATATTCACTTTCAGTTCATTCTGTAACTAAATTCACGTATACACTTGTATTCTCCCTTGCTCGCTTTCTAATTGACTATGTTCCTCATACATTATACTGGGTTTCAGTTCCTTCTTCCTAAATATTATAACTTTTTGATGGTTGTACTTTAAGTGCTTTTTTTATATATATATAAAGGTGGTTTTACGTGTGATGTGAACTCCCTCACATGCAGAAGAGAGACACCAAAAAAAAGGAAACAGAAGAGATTTGACAGTTCTGGTGTGCGCTTTGGGATGTCCTCATGATGTGAAAAGCGCAATGCAAATGGAAATTTGTTGTTGTTGGTGTTGTTGTGGTTGTTGCAGAGTTCCTCCTTGCTGGAGAGATGGTCTTCACTTGCCTACACACAGGGAAATACAGCTTCGAGCTTGCAAATGGCAAGACATTGGGAATCCGACCATGACCTTCTGCTAGAATTTATCTAGTGAATCCTCTCAATTTCTCTACTTTGTCTGTTCTTACTGCCTCCACATCTCAGGATCTCAGCTCTGCCAAATGCACTCCAGCCTCCCTACACTCATCAGCATCGCTGCATTTCCTCTCAGTTAATCCTGTAAGCCAAAGCCCTCATGTGTAGGGTGGTCCTAGCTGGACAAGCAGCAGGAACGCTTGCCAGACAGTTCTCTTAATGGCAAGCTATGTCGTTTTAGCTGGTTAGACTCCATTAGTTACCCCAACGCACACTCTGGGGTCCTACTTTGATGGGCAAAGCTGGTTAGTCAGGACTTCGACCATCTAGATTTGGAGACTGAACTCTGAATGAGACTGAATTGGTCAATGACTAACAAAGCTCAATGCAGTCAGAGATCCCCTTTCTTGTCAGCTTTCAATAACACGCTATCCTTTGGTTAGTACTTTAGGACCTTGCCGTGTGCAAATAGGTTCTTAGTAAAATCCTGTGAAGCACTTTGAGACGACTCGACACACACTGCGGGGATTATCATAACTGAGTGCTACCAACTCACTTCCAATCGAAGAGTTTGTGAGTATCATGTGCTTGTTGTGGTTTCTGGGCAGTCTACTCTGGCTACTACACTGCAGGATGTGATCTCATGGGCCAAAACAGAGGCAACAAGACACTTGGCAGAATGGCAGAATCAGTCAAGGCAATTCTCCCACAGATGTAAAGCAGGAAAAAATACAAAGAGCAAAAGGGGAAACTGCCTTGCAGACGGCAGTGGTTGAACACAAACGAGAAAGAGGACATTCTGTGCTGAATGTTCGTAAAGTACCAACTCTTGTAAAGTGCAGCGAGAGAGAGAGACAGAGATAGAGAGAGAGCAGAGTAGATTGAACACCCACCCCCAACCGTTGGTGATTTCCAGTGTGGTTTCACACCACTTGAAACATGCGTATCGGTTGTCGTAGCAACTCAGAGGTGGTCGCTGAGCCCTGAAAGGAGTTTTATTTAAAAAAAACGGAACTAATCTTTCTTCCACTTTCTTTTGGTTGATCTTTGTCTTTCAGTGTTGCTTAATTGCTATATAATGGTCAATATACACAGCCAATTCACTTTACAGTGGATCCTGTGAAACGCTTTGAGACGTCTCGAAGACGTGATAAGTTGCTATATCAAATGCAAGGATTATTATTATTATTACTACTACACAGAAAACTGTCTACCTGTCAACCACCACCCCAAACCCAACCACCATCCCAAAGTTTGTCGGACAATTCTTTTTGCGGGACAACCCTGGGCGCAAATTGGCCCCTGCGTTCGCCTACAAAACACACAGTTGCTCCGCTTTACAGGAAATTTTGTGAAGCGCTATTGTGCCTTAGCGCTGGGCGGGCATTTCTGAAACCGAGGCCTTATGGTTAGCAAATATCCTGAATACCAAGCGGCTTCGTATGATCATTGAGCACAATAACGATCGCTGCATTTGGGTCGCGGGAGTTAAGAAGCATAAATAATCCTCATTGTAAGTTAAGCAGCCCTGTTCAGCGCAGTCGAGCACGATGACATAAAAACTAGTGAACTAGCAAATGAAGAATGATCCTGCTCATATTCTGTGCCTGGCAACAGCGCAGCCTAAGCACACACTGCAGAAATGTTAAACCCAGGTCCCCTCTCTCTGTTCATGCAGATGTTAAAGATCCCTGAACGCTACTTGAAAAGAGAAGGAAGTTTCTCCTGGTGTCTCAGTGGACAATCTCCCCCCCACCCCAATAAAATTGGTCATTCACTTCATGGCTGTTTGTGAGACGTTTATGTGTGCAAATTGGCTGCCGTGTTCGACTGCAGAATCTACAGTGACTACACCTTGCAGCAAATCCTGTGAGACGCTTTTCGAGACATTTTGATGAAATGCACGGTGCAATATCAAATGCAAGGATTAAATTAGATTAGTTGCGTGATCAGGCTGCCGTTCAATTTAATTGGGTGAAGCATTCATCTCACACTGTGTGTTTCATTCCCAATATGGTGTGATGGTGTAAGTCAACGGATGCATTTAGTCACATACAGTGGACCCTGTGCTGAGAATAGTGAAGGGAAAAAAGACAGAGGTGAGGGGAAAAGAATGGAGGCCAGATCCAAAAAAGCTTTTGGCTGATGTTAGTCTAACTCCGCACCGGAGCTGGAAAGTGGCCATTTTGTGTGATGCTCTGATGATGCTGTTAATCATTGATTGCTTGAAACTGAAGAGTTTGGTTGGATGTGTAAAACAACAATGACTCACAACAGGGGTTTTTACCCGATCTTTGTAGATAAACACAGGATTTGCATACTGGGCACAGATATTCATCCCTCTCGGCTCCTGCTATCCTTGCAAAGCCCTAATGGCTAGTGTGATAAGGCGAGGCAAGGAGAGGGAAGCTTGCCAAACAGTGTTCGCAATATTTTTACAGTTGGTTAATCTCTAGCAGTTACTCTCCACGTACATTCTGGGGCCCATCAAAGCCTTTGGCTCTTGTCAACTTGCACCTAATACTCTCTGGGAATAGGTGAGCAGGGTGCCTTCCTCCAGGGGAAGAGAGTGTGCTCACTCTGTCCGAGACAAGTGGACAACTTCCAGCCGTATGTGGAACACTTAGTAGTTTGCTTTGGATATTTTTAAGCGTGCTGATGGGTTTCTGTGTGGTCAGGACTCCCAAAAAGATTTGTATTTGCATAGTTACTTGAGTGACTAAAATAACACTGAGTCCTAACACGGAGTCCTGTAGCTCAGTGGTTAGAGCACTCGCTTTGCGAGCGAGAGACCTGAGTTCAATTCCAGGCAGAGGGCGAAACCTTGGGCAAGTTTCCTTACTCCACACAGAGCCTAATAATAATCCCTCCAAAACAAAACAATAATAAATTGGCCATTTTCAATCTACGACTGTTTGTGGGACATTGCTGTGCGCAATTGGCTGCCGCGTTCGCCCACAAATATACAGTCAATTCACTTTACAGTGTGTTCTGTGAAGCGCTTTGGGACGTCCTCCCAACGTGAAAAGCGCTATATCAAATGCAAGGATTATTATTATTATTAAAAAGTTATGGTTTATGGCTAATGGGTGTTACCAGCAAATCTAGCAAGTGTAACTGTGCAACGCCTCCCTCTTTCCATCCACTCACTCCAATATATAATACAATAAACTTTATTTGAGCTTAGAGGGTGAAGATAAAGTTCTCCTTATGTTCTGAGCCTGTCGAGTTGACTTCTGTACCTTAAGACAACAGCACAAGACCTGAAAGTAAAGTAGAGCAATGTTTGGTGTTCTTGTGAACTAGACTTTGTGCCTTTATTGCGCTTTGTGGTTAGGATGTTGCTCTGCTGACCAGATCTGTAATCTGATAAAGGAGTTGATCAGGTTACGTGCAATTATCACAAGATACGCAACTGATAGGGGAAAAAGTACCCACTTGATTGTGCTTTTTTTATAGAGTAGTCCTGGATGTTCGGGGTTCCATTGAGGTCAGAGAAGTTGACTGAAAGGACCATGTTTTCAAGACTGCTGTCTTTCCTCACTATGAACGTCTGCAAATAAGTCAGAAAATAATAATTAAGGTAAAAGTTTAGGCAATACGAACACTCAAGGTTAAAAAAAGTCACTCCAATCTAACAGGCAATGGGGTGAAATTTGTCACGTTTCTTGTGAGAGTTATCACAAGGAACGAGTTAAGAAACATCGCCAATTTCACCCCTGTAACATTTCATCAGTCCCCGGTTCATTCTAACAATACACAGAGACCCACTGTTCTCTCATTCTCTGTCACGACACACTTTTCATTGAAGTTGAATGCTCCATTGTATTTGCTGCAAACCTAACTCAAAAGGTTCACACTTACGAGGACAAATTATGTTAGGATATGTGTCAGGTCAGGGTATTAAGGGATACAGGGCAAAGGCGGGTATTTGGACTTGAGGTACTGATCAGCTTATAGAGTGGCGGGACAGGCTCGAGGGGCTGAATGGCCTCCTCCTGTTTCTGAGTTTCTATGTGCCGTGGTGCATTGCAATAGAGCAGACTGTTGAGGCTTTTGAGAGGAGATCAGCCAGAACTGAATGCGAAGTGACTGCTCTGTCTGCCTGTGCTGTGCTGTGTTGCTCTGAGCTGGGCCAGAAGTAATAATATCGTTGCACACCACACACAGTCAGTGCGGAACCTGCAGTCGTTTTATTTTAGACAGAATGCAGGTCACTCGGTTTGGGTTTCCTCTGTGAAGGACGTGAGCGGGGTGAGAAGTGATTGGGGGAGGGAGAAATGTAGGTGATGAGATCTAACTGTTCATTTTAAAAAAACCTGAGCAGGAGAGAGGTGGTGGTGTGGGGGAGGGCGGAGTGTTATTGACAAAGTAAAGAGGAAATGTGTCTTCCTGCTCGCTAGTTGGGAGAAATCCAGGATCTAATTGTAAAAGCAGAGCCTAGGCCTCTGCAAGAGAGGTGTGGAAAAACAACAATTCTTTGTTTAAAGGGTCGTGAGCTAATGCAACAGACTACCTCAGGAGGAACATGGAAAAACAGGCACAGGAGGAGGCCATTCAGACATTGCAGCCGGTTCCACCAGTTTATTACATCTCCGTAGATCTTTCAATCTCAATGCTCTCCCCTGATTGCCTTACCCTTTAATATCTCTACTACCCAAGTATCTGTATCTTTCCTTTAAACATCCTTATCAATTCTGCCTTTAGAGTTTTGGGGGCTCCCACCTTCTGTGGGAAGAAAAACTTCCAGACCTCAGTTTTAACCGTTCTTAGTTCGAAGACAGTTAATTTATTTTGAATATGCGGAATCTGCCATAATCTGTTGCTCGCACAGAAAACAAGAGTGTCATATTTCTTAGAACATAATTCAACACCAACGTTATAAACATTGCGTTTTTTTAGCCCTGAAAGTGCAAAGCAAGAGTGTGACACAACATCAGTTTAGGGTGGGACAAATGGGGTCAATTTTTCTCCTTCCACACACACAACACACAAAAACAAGATGGGAAGTTTGGCAATATGTGGCAGACTGTCACAACACTGTCTCGATGACACAGTGTACCCAGCAGGAAATCCGGATGAAACTGCACGATTGAAAAGCTTGGAGGCTTTTCACCTGCAGTAGGATTATAGATCAAGTGTCCACGTTAATAGGTGCTGCAGTTGTAAACGATACAGGCTAAATAGTTGGCAGTATTAAATTGAGTTCAATTCCAGGCAGAGGGCGAAACCTCGGGCAAGTTTCCTTACTCCACACGGAGCCTAATAATAATCCCTCAAAAAAACAAAACAATAATAAATTGGTCATTTTCAATCCACGACTGTTTGTGGGACGCTGCTGTGCGCAATTGGCTGCCGCGGTCGCCCACACATATACAGTCAATTCACTTTACAGTGAATATTCTGTGAAGCGCTTTGGGACGTCCTCCCGACGTGAAAAGCGCTATATCAAATGCAAGGATTATGATTATTATTATTATGCAAAGCAGAAAATAACTGAGCGCATGACAGGGAAGAGTTAATGTGCTAGAGGTAGAGGGTGGATTTTCTAATGGCCAAATCACTGTGTCCCAAAACGCTCGCCCACAAAATACGCAGTTACTTGACAGTGTATCCTGTGAAGCGCTTTGGGACGTCTTCCTGACTTGAAAGGCGCTGTATCGAACGTTCGGATGCTTATTATTATTAACAGCTCTAATCCCAACTCTCTGCTCTTTCCCAGTACCACTTTATACGCTCCTTCATCAGATTCTCTCTTTCAAAAGTGTTTTGATCTCAACCTCAATGGCCGCTAGTGGCAGAGCATCTCACAGGAGACGAAATTCCACCCGGCTCCATTAGGCTTAGACTTCACTGTAGAGTCGATTTTCTGTCGCAGGAAACTGGCTTCACAATTCAGACTCCGTTTAAGAATTCGTCAAACCTGGATTGCTTGCGTTTGTTATGGCGTCTTTCATGTCTGAAGGATATCTCAAAAGGAGAGTGCTGTCAACTGAGCCAGGCTGACACACATTTGGTGCGTGTGTGTGTGGGTGGGGGGGATGGGGGGTAATGGTGGGGGGGCGAGGGAGAATTCCGCAGGTACCTGGATGTGTCTCAAGCCCACCGACTGGGAATCGTTGACTCCAACCTGACCTCTCGGCCTCCTATTAAACACTTGACGTCCGGGTGCCCGTTGTGCCTGCTGTTTGCAATTGCCTCTCTGAGCCTGGCACATTGTACACTAATGTGTCAGCCAAGCACTGGAGCAAGTAGCACATTCTTCCAGTAATCAGTGTATGTATTTTTTTTATATACTCAGGAGCAGCAGTTGAACTTGCGGATGGAATCATCCACAACATTGATATTGGAAGCGACCTCGCACATTACACTGCGAGAGGCATTAGGAGATCGAGGGTCAAAAATGTGAATTGTTAGCCTTGTGTCTTCCTGGCTTGTTTTCAAGTTGCCGCTGGCACTTTGACCAAGGAGTATAGTGTGAGAGGCAGTGAACAGCTACATAAACCTGCTAACAGTTAAATGGAACCATTTGTGCTTCCGTAATGAGCTGTTAAATAACCCACAAGAAGCAGAGTGCGTTTTCTTTGCAGTCCATGCTATGCAGGGCACAAGGGTTTTTGATGCTGCGCTTTGGCTTGAAGTCTGCCAGTGGCAGACCAACTCCATGGGGATGCTTCCTCCGACGGTGCACTTCCAAAGGCAACCGGGGTCAACAGAGCAATGGCAAAATACCATTTGGTAAAATGGAACATGAATGAAGTTTCATGACAGTCTTGTTCTCTCCCTGCAGTGCCACACAGAAGCCCTGAATTGGAGGTGATGGTGATGGGTCACTTGTTTTCACATGCATCACGCTGCTAAATACAATTAGCTTTTTCGTAACAGAATATTGCTCAAGTCTTACCAAGTTGTCAAGGCAATGGGGGTGGGGGTGGTGCAGAAGAGATTTACTGAGATGACACTGCGAATGAATGGTTTGCCAAGGATGGACTGGTCTAAAATTATTGTTAAGATGAAATTATTTCCACCGGTCGCTCAGTCAGTGACTGAAGGGCATGAATTTACGATCGCTAGCAAACGAAGGGGATGAAAGCAGAAATGTTTTCACGCAGTTAGGATATGGAATGCCCAGCCAAGAGCGCTGTTGAGGCAATTTTGAGATATTCGCCTTCAATCTGGGACTAGATAAATATCTAAAAGGCCGTGAACTAACAGGGGTTGGGGAAAGTATAGGTCAACGGGACTGAAAGGATTGCTCTTAAAACAGAGAAAATTGCATAAAAAGACAATGGGCTCTTAAAACAACAACAAGATTACATTTGTATAGCGCCTTTCACGTCGGGAGGACGTCCCAAGACCTGGACAGTGTACGAGCTGGGGTCGGGGGGGGGGGAGAAGGGAGGGGAGGGGAAGGGGGGTGGCCGATGGCATGGTCAAAGAGGAGGGTCTTGAGGCGGGACTTGAAGGAGGCTAAGGAGGGGGGGAGGCGGAGTGATTGATAAAATTGATAAAAGACACTTTGGGCCGAATGGCCCTATTCTGTGCTACAAATTTCCACTGTTCTATTAATTAATAAAAATAATAATAATTTTGCATTTGATACAGTGCCTTACTGCGTCATTGAGACGTCTCAAAGCACGTCACAGGGTATACCGTAAAGCACAACAGTGTCTCACAAACAGTTGTGGATTGAGTGACCGAATTGTTATTATTATTATTTTTTTGAGAGGGATTATTAATTGTACAATACTGTATAGTACTATTAGAAGCACACCATTACAGGACAGAGAATGGGACTGTCATTTGTGAACAGTCTGTTACTTCAGCGCTTGGGCCGGTTTCAGACAAGCTGAACAAACAAAAGTAAAGACATTTAACAGCTGCTGCTCAGATATGGAATTTTCCCCTTTCAGCCTTCGCACAAAGACTCCACAACTGAACGTGGCCAAAAGAGGTTTGGACAGGATTTCTTCAGCTTCACTCGCATAACCTTCAGAGAGCACTTCATGGCAAGAGGATTCATTACTTTGGATTCATTACATTGTTGCAAGGAGTATGTAGGGGCAAAATTAGCTGCGTTTCATACTGCATTCATATCCATCCCTCATGACACTCGAGTGTCAGCCTATTGCTACCTCAGTTGGTAGCGCTCTCGCCCGTAAGGCAGAAGGTTGTGGGTTCAAGTTGTCTCGTGTTGGGGACACTCCAATGCGATGTTGGGGGAGAGCTCTCCATTATCGGAGGTGCCGTCCTTCGGCTGACACGTAAACTAATGACCAGTCTGCCTGTACAGTAGGCATTAAAGATCCCTTGGCACTTCCAAAAGAGAAACATTCGGATTTACAGCAGATGTACAGGAGATCGATTGCAACTCCACAAACCATATGCCATATTCCTGCTCAACTATATTCCTCGTTCGACTACAGGGTGATTCCATGTTGAATTCTCTTTCCCCCAAAACGCTTTGTCTCACTTTCTCCCTCCCTTGCTCTCAAAAACATAAGGAAACGCTTAAGGAATTAGCTGATGAAATTGACCGTTTTGTGGTTGGTGTACGGTATTTAGGGACTGGTTGGAAACAGGAGTGAGTGCCCAAGGACTGGAGAAAGGGTAGGGTAGCTTTGAGTTCCAAACAAAGAGGTAAAACTATAACCATGTATATTCCTATGGATCACAGGGCTCTAACATATGAGTCAGTCAACACGGGAAGTGTTACTACATCCCAAATGAAACTGCAGAGAACCGCGAGGAAAAAACAAAACAAAACTAAATATTCCTCTGAAATAGAAACTAAGCAAACTGCACAAAGTAGCCAAGTTTGGTAACTTCCCCAAACTGTTGAACAACAATGACAAAAACAAAAATTGAGCAAGGGAAGGGGACGCGGGGACCGCGAGATACAATTCCAAAGGAGTTCCTCTGGACTCCGGTTAACTTTCATAGTTTAGTTTAAAGCATTTCACGGAAAACACGTGCTTTGAATGCAACACACCTAGTGCTGGCCACAAAATGCCTATACAGTCATAGAAATCTGGAAGTCTGGAAACAATAAATTATCTGAAGACAAACGAAGTGTTCCACTCGAATAAAATGATATCTGGAGTCTGGGTTTAGCCTCTGTGTGCAATAGTTTAGAACGGAGGGATGCAGAGACACCACAGAAACATTGTGAAAGATTGTGGGATCTAATCTACGATATTCCTTCGTGGAATTCTGTAATAGGACATCTGAACCTTTTTAAAAAATGGGCACTCTTTCTGGTCACCGGGAGCGTGTCATTCCAACACAGGAATTCCAACCACATCGACTGGATCTACGTCCGGAGTAGAGTTCCCGAAGAATCCTAACGGGAATCCTAACAGGAATCATTAAGCAATCCTATTAAGATACACCGCCTAAACGAGACACTAGGGTCTTTATTGAAGCTTTGTACTGCTGCCTCTTTCACAACTTTTCTCCTGCTTGTTGTTGTTATGTTTTACCCACAAAATACAGTCAGTTCATGTTACAGCGTATCCTGTGAAGCGCTTTGAGACGTCTCGAAGACGTGATAAGGAGCTGTATCAAATGCAAGGATTATTATTATTGTGAGGGAACAGGAAGACCAGGCTTGCGTTTGGAAACAAAAGGGGAACAGGGAGATGGGTGCACATTGTAAGCCTGCTTGTAATAGTGATTCTTATTCTTATTCTACTCCGTCCCGGGATTTAAGGCTTCCTTGTTGACCCGTCAACGCAAGGGCTTGACTTCTGGATTAGCCGAAAGGGTCACGGTTGAAGGGTCACAGTTGGAAACAGCCCTATGTTCCCTGGAGTGGGAACACTACCCTTACAAACCCGAGACAATGAGCCTAAGTGCTCAACCCCAAAACACACACCAAACTGATCCCGAACCTGGAAGGCGGATTTGAGTGACAGACTGACTTGGGGTGAAATTGAGCAATGGGAATCTTAAGGGGATTCTTTAATAAAGAGTTTTACTTTGCGGGATTTCTAAATAACAATTATTTATTAACAATCCTATCATCCTTGCATTTGATACAGCGCCTTATCACGTCTTCGAGACGTCTCAAAGCGCTTCACAGAATATACTGTAAAGTGAATTGACTGTATATTTTGGGGGCGAAAAGCAGCAGCCAATTGAGCACAGCAGCGTCCCACAAACAGCCGTGGATCGAAGCGCCCAAATTATTTTTTAAAAGAGATTTTTACCCCCGGGAAAGCAATCAGCCAATCTACTAACAACCGCGTTCCTGCTTGCTGCTGGGTAAACAGAGTCAATGCAAGAAAGTCGCGCTTCCCGAGGGGGTTTTTATTGACTATTTAAGTGCCTTAACTACGAGTTTAATGGAACTGGAGAACGAGATGAGTGCTGCCTGGGCCCCGGCCTAGCACTGAACCACTGCAAAACGAACAGCAATCTATTTCCTTTGCCTTCGCTGCCAGCAAATCTGAGAGACCGGTGGCTGTTTGCACCATGTTTTTACACAGTGTATGTGTGCCTGACTGGGAATCTCAACGAACCTGATACTTCCTTGGAGAAGCATTGGTCACAAAAAAAAATAGCAGCTCCTTTGCTTATCATGAGATTCTTTCTCCGTGAGTTTCCGTGAATGCAGCTCAACGTAGTTATTAAATACGATTTGAATTCCAGCGTGCCTTCCATATGGATCCTCTCCAAAGAGCTCCCACTGTGTACTTGGCTAATCCCGCACTGGGTTGCAACAATCCGTACTGCTCCTCACTATGTCACGTCCTCTGCTCCGCTGTAGTCTGATTAAACGCTGCTCATTACGGTATTTCGCGGCGAGCGGTAAAAAGAAAATGTGTCCGATATTGAAACCAGGTGACCACAGTAAATCAAACTGGGGGGTGGGGGGGGAAAGCAAAATTGTAACTTCACAATAAGAAGGGAACCGAATTGTTTGGAACAGGAAGTGTAGAGGCTGAAAGCGGTTCATGCAAACAAACAAGCAAGCAAAAACAAATTCTTCCAATTCTCCACACCGCTATGCTGCCTTGCACGCCTTTGACTTAAGGCACGATTTCTCTGCTTTGATACAATTTCATGAGCAGCCCTCACTATCCACATCACCTCGTTCAAGTGACCACTGTTCGTGTGCGAGCCTTGACCGTGAGTGTGCTGGAACCAGAGGGAGCAGGGATGGGTCTGATGAGGAGGAGCAAGATTAAGGCTCCCCTCTCATTGCGTTTCGCCCACAAAATCTACAGTCAATTCACCTGATAGTATATTCTGTGAAGTGCTTTGAGACGTCTCAACGACGTGATAAGGCGTTGCAGTAAACCTCACATACGTCGTAGTTGGGATCATACATTTAATGTAACTTATGGAAAGTATGAGCTATGTCAAACTTGCATAAAATATAAACTCTTGAATGAGATTTGGGCAGGTGTACGAATTAGGGGATCATACGATTTATACAAATCAGACTTCTGCGAGTTTTACTGTATATCAAATGCAAGGATTATTATTATTGTTGTGTGGGGGGCTGGGGTGGGGGTGGGGGTGGAGTGACAGGAACGTACTCAGGGGGTAACATCTCACAAGGGATGGAACAACGCTCCAAGTCCAATTGGGAAGCATTCCCCCTTTGTCTCCCCTTTCCCGTGACTTTTGGACGACGCAACAAGCTGGTATGCAACAAAAGCTCGCCAGCGCTCTGTACTGACTGTACAGCTTTAGGTGGATAAATTCCAGCTGTATTTCAACTTAACCTCACTCCCTGGACCCCCACAGGCTTCTGACAACGTGTGTTCTGCAGACACAGGCAAACCTGGGAGACACGCTCCAGAACTGGGAAATGAAACTGGGTGAGCAGTTTGTAGCCAATGCCAGGCACCCAACTGACCAAAACTCAGATACAGCACATTTCTAGCAAAAGCTAACTCCTGACTTAAATTCGCCGAACGTAGTAATAGAGCAACAGGAGAAGGCCATTCAGCTCATCGAGCCTGTTCCATCACTTTATTAGTGAGAGAACAGATCACCTTATGGAACAGATCACTTTATCTCTCTCCGCCATTCTAGTTCACTGCATTCCACATCCTCACAGTCCTGTGTGTGAAGAGATGCTTTATTTTCGGAGTTCTAATCTTCTTGGTCCTGATTTTAAGGCTATGCCCCAACCTCCCTGCCATGGATCCCTCTACCAGAGACAAAAGTCACCCAACTATCTAACCTATCCATTCCTTTCATTACTTTAAAGCTTTCGACCCTTAACCTCTTCTGCTCCAAGGCATATTTGGTGACTCAAATTAATGACCGCAGATTTGGTCACTTCAATCCACGACTGTTTGCGGGACACGGCTGTTTGCAATTGGCTGCAGCGTTTCGCCCACAAAATATACAGTCAATTCACTTTACAGTGTATACTCTGAAGCGCTTTGAGACGTCTCGAAGACGCAATAAGGCGCTGTATCAAATGCAAAGATTATTATTATTATCCATTATTATTATTAACATGCTTTAAACCAAAGTGTTCAGCACGGACTTACCCCAAGTGGTTCTGCGTGGAGTATTTCTGTCACCTTTTCCTTTTTGATGTTCAGCTGAAGCCAAACTGGACACGTGCCGATCAGCTTGTCCAGGATGCTGATTCCCGACAGGAATAGGTGGCGCGGAGGAGGTGTCGCTCGGGGTGCCTGCTCCCTCTCATTGCTGGCACCTAGCCTTGGGCTGCAACACAGACAGCAAACAGAAAACACCCAGAAGTGAGGCCAGTGTAGAAAACAGTGTGTGCCTGTGGCTGAGAAACCAAACCATCAGCACATTAACATAAGGTGAATAATCACAACCATTTGACCGAGGAGCTTGAGAGTGAAATTGGGCTGAAGTTCATCTAAAAATCACAAAAACCTACACCAACTTAATTCAACGCAAGCACAAGGGAAAGGCATTAGAAACACAATGATGCACTTATTATGATATGGGGCCACTTGGGATTCCTCCTGCAGCCACTCGAGTAAAGAGTTAAGCGCTACATACCCCAGCAAGCCTCCCGTCTCCACTTCTTGGCCAGATGTTTTCTTCATCATCGCAAGGCACCGTCTCTCAGACCCCATTTAAGAGACCCTGCAAATGAATGAATCCAGGCCCCCCAGGTGCTGGGGGGCTGCACATTCTGCGAGGAGGATCCGAGAGGCTTGAAAGATGGCGTTTTTTGTTCAAAAAAAAGCGTGCAGCCCTTCAAACAGCAACAGAGAAGATAGTGGAGGAAGACGTGTGTGTTTGTGGCTTGTCTTGCTCTGACTTCCTGTGTTTCTGTGAACAAATAGGGAAATCTGAGGAAGGGGCCGGTTTGAGTCAGTGGTCGAAACTGTCAGCTTTTCTCCCTCTCTCCCTCTCGTCAAATTTTCCTGGCGCCGGGATTATGTTCAAAAAGTGGGAGGAGCGCTGACTGCTTCTGCAGAGCTCCACCAGCCCTGTGTCAGGCTATATATACTGTATTCGGCAAAGACCAAAGTTAAATAAAAAAGTACGTGCGTGGGTGGGTGTGCGTGTGCGTGCGCGTGTGGGCGTTCTGAAGCATTCTGAGATGCTTCCCCGCATGAGCAGCACGGTGTAAATGCAAGTTGTTGTTGTCGGTTCGCAAATCAATGTATCTGAACTTCTTGGGGAAAAACTTTTCTCTGCAGCATTCAGCCGAGTCTGCAGGGAGAGGCTTGAAAAAGCAACGAGTAGTTGCCCATCCCCCCCCCTCCCTCCTTCCCTCCCTCCCTCCCATCCCCACCCATAACGGCTCTCTTCCCCCCACAGCCCCCACCCACAACCCCACCCCCACCGCCTCCAGCAACGCCAATCTCGCTGGGAGATTTTTTCAAAATAAAAAGCAGACGGCAGATCCTGGCACGCAGCACATTAATCAGAAAATGCCTTTTGACAACGGGAAGGACTGAGTACAAAAAAAAATGTTTCAGAGGCTGTGAAATCTCGAGGAGTTTTATTTTTTTTTAAAAAAATGCGTTCGTTGCCAGTTACCTGCAAAACAAATAGCCCTTTTCACAGAACTGGTTCCTGCTTTAGTTAAGCGAAGAGAAAAGAACACAAAACCCCGAGCAATTCTTAAAGATGTTTTTTTTAAAAAAAAACGGGAAAAAAACAAATGAAATAAAAACGGCTGCCAACTAATGCCCGGAGCGGAAAGAGCGTTGATAAACAGCAGCAATGTTGTAAACCGCTTTGATTCAAGGCTGAAGGCATCTTGTGTGACTGAGTCTGACATCTCTTACATAAACAGCTCCAGGCACATCTGGTTCCCGACACAGGCCACAAACTGAAATGTTGTGCAATAAGGAGTCCTGAAACAAACACCTCTTTCCTTGTGGGTCGCTCTGATTTCCATCGTTTGCACAGACGGATAGAGCGTCCTGTCTTTATGAGGTTGCTAATGATCAGCCCTCCTGCGGAGGTGGATGCAAAGCGGAGAGGAGAGAAGATAGAGCTAACTGCCGAGCTACAAACAGCCACCCATTAAATTTTATCTGGGGAAGTTTGTCAGCCAGGACACCGGGAGAAACTCCCTTCTCTTTTAGATTAGTCATGTGTTATCTTTGTTGTCCATCTCAACAGGGACCTTGGTTTAATGTCTCGTCTGAAGGACGGCACCTGAACCAATACAGCCACCCCCAGCACTACACTAGAGTCATCAGCTAAATAATAATAATAATAATAATAATAATCCTTGCATTTGCTATAGCGGTTTTCATGTCTGCTCAAAGGCTCAAAGCGCTTCACAGAATATGCTGTAAAGTGAATTAACCGTATATTTGTGGGTGAAATGTGGCAGCCAATTGCGCACAGCAGTGTCCCACAAACAGTCTTGGATTGAAAATGCCCAATTTATTTTTGTTTTGGAGGGATTATTATTAGGCGTGTGGAGTAAGGAAACTTGCCCAGGGTTTTGCCCTGCCTGGAACTGAACCCAGATGTCTCACTTGCAAGCGAGTGCTCTAATCACTGAGATTCAGAACTCCATAGACTATCTGAGCCATGTGGGGCTTGAACCCCTGAGATTTTGGACTCGGAGGTGAAGAGTGCTATCAACTGAGCCAGGCAGACTCTTAATTCCTGTAAGCACAATGCGCTCACGTAAATATACACAGCAATGGCTACGCGTTTGCTGTTTGAGAGTTGAAAGCAAAGGTCTCCCACCTGAGGAACCCACGAGGAAACATCACTGTGGGCCAAACGACCTGTCAGAAATCGAGCGACTGAGACATGAGTGAGTTACTGAGCTTATACTGTGATGTGGGGGGAGGAAGTGGGGAAGAATATTCCATTGACTGATCATGTGTTGTCTGGCTATTTTCGTGGACCCTCATTGCTTCCAGTGAACCTCATGAGGTGACTCAGAGTTTTACTTTGACCACTTTGTCTTCTTGCACTTGTGTACAGTCATAATTATTAAATCATAAATTTACTAATGATTTAATAATGATGAATGTATGATAAAATCATGATTTAATAATGATTTAATCATACATTAATAATTATTAATTCATACATTGATAATTATTAAATCATACATTAATATTGGTTAAATCATACATTAATGATGATGAAATAATGCATTAATAATTATCAAATAATATTTTGTTGTTATTAATATCAGACCGATGTTGAAACATCATTTGTATTTTGCCTGTTGCCACAGGTCAAAAACTTCATCGGCGTTCGTTCAGACAGTGGAAAGAGGAACTAAACACGTTATATTTCTGGATTAAAGTTAACTCTCACATCTCCTCCACCCCCAGAAAATCAGTCCCTCTGGACTGGCCATTTTTTAAAAAAAAAATCACTTCACTCACTGAGTCACTTAATATTCTGGTAATCATGTTACTGAGCTGCTAGGATTAGCTTTATTATTAAAGAAAACATTACTTCTGTGCTCGGTAAATAGAGATGTGTGGATTAGGGAAACTTGCCTAAGGTTTGCCATGCTCACCCGCCCCCTTTCATGCCCAGAGAACAGTTCAAAGTGGCTCAACGGATATACTGTACAGTGGAGTGACTGCGTGTTTTGAAGGTGAACAGCAGCAGCCAATTTGCACACAATAATGTCTCCCAAAAACAGCCAGGGAGTGAATGACCAATTTTGTCTGGGGGATTGTTGGCCAGGACAAACTTCTCTTCTCTTTGTTAGTGCCACGTCCACCTAAACAGGCATGCAGGACCTCGGCTTAAACATCTCATCCAAAGGTCGGCATTTCTGACAATGAGCTCAAAGTCCTGATGTGGGGCTTGAACACAGCTATGAGGAATCGTGAAATAAAATCCTTGGGGATTAAAAAAAAAGATGGATCTTTACCTGAGGATTGGAAAGGGCGAAACACAACTCAGGCCACGAGTCACACCAGGAAACCACAGACCAGTCAGTTTAAGCCAAGTTGGGGAGAAAATCGTCCGAATGATTTTACGGGATCCTGTGGGGGAAAGCACAGTGTGATTAATTTTAGTTACATGGCTTTCAAGAATGAGAGGTCACGCCTGGTTAACTTACTGGAGGTGATCAAAGCTGCTACTGTCACAGTGAACTGGCGAAAATGTGGACTTTGCATGATTGGAATTTCAAAGATCATTTAACAAGGCTCTGTTACCACAAGTTGTTGTTATTGTGGAAAGTATCTCTGCTCCTTGAACTGGCAAAGGAATCGCACGCTTCACTGAGTCATTGTTAAATTGCCGAACTTGCAGACTCCAGAAAAGCTTATCATTTGAAAGTAAACATGATAATTACAGTCCCTTGCATTCGCAGTACAACGCAGAACAAATTTACTTGTTAAATAGTGAATTCCCACAGCCCTCCCTCCCCATTCCTCCATTATTTTGTTCCCCCCGGAAAGCGATACACTAGTCGACAAAGAACCCTGTTCCTACTTACTCCTGGGTACACAGAGCCATGCGCGTGGAGCAGGGAAACTTGCCTAAGGTTTCGCCCCGCCCGGGAATCGAACCCGGGATCCTCTTGCTCGCGAATTGAGCTCGTTAACCACAAAGCTATAGGACAAAAAAATTCTGCAGCAGAGGATGAAACCAGTTGCGATCTTGCTGACTGGATTAGGCTGTGGTTAGCTTTGTGAGTCAAGGCACTGGTGATAATAACTCATGCTGAACTTGACGTAGCCTATATTTATTTATACCACACTTTTACATGTTAAGTCCACCTCCTCCATAGATGTTCCAGACAGGCAGCAATGATGTGGGCTTGTTGGTGACAAAATCACTACTCCCACAACTATTTTGTACCGTCAGCAATACTTCTTTTGGAATCGCTGAATTGAATTTAAGAGGATAAAATTAAACTCTTTAGGAATAGTTTTCCCCCACTTCCTTTTTTGCATCCCAGCTCTCCCGATCGGGCTGGCCCACACCAGCTGACTATCACATGGCTCTGTCTGAACTCTCTCCATGTGTGTGTGTGTGTGTGTGTGTAGTCACTATGGGGAGGTTCTTCAGTCCAGAACTTGCCTAATTTTGTCCTTACCTGGCGAACACATGTAGGTGCACTTTCTCCCAGAGGTCATGATATGGAGCTCAAACCTATAACCTGCTGTCCTCGTGGCAAGAATGTGGCTACCAACTGAGCCACGCAATGAGTCTGTTCCCTTGATTGTGTGGCTCAGTCGTTCCTTATCTCTGTGACCTGCTAACTCCATAGAATCCTGTCTGTTCCATCCGCTCAGCAGCTCCAGCCTGTTCCACATCCCACGCCCTGCCTTCCCCACCATCGGTGGTTGGGCATTCAGCCTTTCTGCCACTCCCCTTTGGAACTCCATCCCACAGTCCCCTCGTCTCAAACCCTTCAAGGCCCATCTCAAGACCCTCCTCTTCAACCACGCCTTCATCCACCCTCCTACACCTACCCTTCATGCCACCCACGCCTCCTGATCCCAAATCCCTGCTCGGGTGCAAATGCTTGACTGTCCAGCGCGAATCGTAGAATATCACAGAAGGAGGCCATTCAGCCCAGCGTGCCTGTGCCAGCTCTTTGGAAGAGCTACCCAATCAGTCCCACTCCCCGCTCTTTCCCCACATCCTTGCAAATTTATCCTCTTCAAGTATCTATCCAATTCCCTTCTGAGAGTTGTTTTTGAATCTGTTTCCACCGACCCATTCACGGGTCTATCGTGTTGCTGTTGTTTGGGAATACAGAACACAGTGAGCTCGGAGATTCAGTCCAGCAACTCCGCGCCTCACACTAAACCCGACCAGGAGATGACTCAGCGTCACGTTAAACTCCGAGGCAAGACACAAGTTGGTTGCTTTCACACGAAAGCCAGGCAATCGTATTAATAGATTTTATTTAAATATGTATATTGTATTACATGTCAAATAACATTCAAGGTTTCATATATCAATGTACATTTGTTTCGTAAAGTTTCTTTTTTTTTGTAGGTCGCTTTTATATTCTGTATTTCCCCCCACTTCCCCCCGCCGCACTTGTGGCAAAGATAATAACATTCAGATCATTTGACTTTGTACATGATACAATGTACCTCGATTTATACACAGGAACTCTCATCAAATTGCATTCACAGTGCATCAGGTCACATTTGTCCCATCAATTATTCAGATATACATTTGAATAAATATTTATCTGCATAACTTTGCCAATTGACACAAGATATTGCCACACTGCAACAAAATGTGTGTGTGTGTGTATATATATATATATATATATCTCTATGTATATATAGATCAAAGGAAAGGAAATTAACATCTGATTGTTACATTAAACAATTTGGGATCGATCAGTCTGGAACTACACATGCATCCGATCATAAGAAGTGGTAATAATATTATTTATTTATTATTATAAGAAGTAGTTCACTACCCTGACCAATACGTACCTCCTTCAGCACCCCCACCCTCACCCCCACCCAGTCCACCTCCCTCCTCAAAGTGCCACAAAGATGGTGCCCTTATAAGCACACTTTACCAGAGCCTCCACTCTGATCTATCTCAATTTCTCTCACATTTCTTTTGCTTTTGTCAACCAGAGAATGGGCATGATAGGCATAATCCCGCTCGCATACATTCAACGCCATCAATACCGGCCTGATCGACACGTCACCACTGGACTGGACTCAAACAGAAGCTCGTCACAGAAGAAACAACAGGACCCCAGGTCAGATGGAGTGATGGAACTTATTTGACTCCATTGCCACGTGATGGAGGAAAGCAATTGGAGTCTCTAACAAATGAACAAAGGCTTTAACAAAAAAAATTAAAGAAGCCTTCAGCGTCCAATATTCAGTTGCGAAAGGAGTCACAACCTGGCGAAAATACACCGAGCAGCTCAGTCCGAGATACAGGGCTCCTGTCTTGATTCAAAGCCCAGACTGAGATATGAGGCATTGTCTGAATTCACACCTAAGTCTGAGATATGGGACTCTATATCGAGTTAGAGCGCAGTCAGATACGAGACCTGTGTCAGTCCAGACTTGAGTCAAAGATATGAACCTCTCAGTTCACAGCTCACTCTAAGACCTAATACGTTGTCCTGATTAAAATCATTACAGCAGCTCTACATAAGATGGGGGGGAAAGAGAGAAAAATAACAATGGCACAGTCCTCTTTACATGAAGCTGTTGCACAAGTTAAATACAAGTATTCGAAAGTTGCTGACACCGCGATAGAAAGTAAACGTCTGTCTCATCACTTCAAGATACCCAGGTTATCATGGTCCACCAGCGTGACCTTACTGTAGAATTCCAGCCAGGGATGACTTATTTAATGATTGCTTACACATTGTATATAGATATAGATCTAGATATATATAAAATTATACAGCGGGTTTCATATTTTATTTTAAGAAAAGTTAGATCATCTCAAGTTCATTTTCATCCACTCATACGCTGGGGTATTGCACATCACGCAGGTACGATACGGGAAAAGTCCAGCCTGAATAAGACACTATTACAACCACTTGCACCTCCGAACGTTCAATAAAAATATTTTAGATCCTTCGAGATCTGATAAAATAATCTCCAGATTTCTCCACATGTCTGTAAGAACATTTCTGCACACCAAGGCTCACGGCAGCAAGCAGAACCCCAAACGACTCAGTCACAGCAGACACCAGGAAACTTTGCCACTTCTTCCACTGTTTCATTCATGACCCAGTGCTGAATCCAAGACGACACTGATATCTTGTCATCAGATATCACTGGTATCCGATGACAGGATATCAACAGTGAAACCAAGAGGTAGACATTCCCAATCAAACACTTTCAACTATTCCGCCGGGTTAAGCCTCTTGCGTTTAACCCTTTCACTTCCTCACTTTGTTCTCGCTGATCCAAACAGCAGAAACCTTGAAGCCAAACAACAGAAACCCTGAGCTGATTTGACCTGTAGAACCACAGGTCTGACCAGCACATCACTGATCCAATCACCAGAAACACCTCATAAGACCAGCAGAAAATGAAACCTCTTGTCTGACCAGCAGAAGAGAAATTTGACAAACATCAACAAACCTCAGCAAAGAGGAGACTCAGATTATAAACCTCTTCAGGTCACACACTGAGGGCATCAACACCTTCCTCGACATCCAATTCGTAGCCTCCAAAATCCCTAAATCTCAACCCTGTATTCAATGATGAGTGTGAGTGCGACCAGGCTATTTTTTGTTGTTGTTCTATTTTTTGGTGTTGTTAAAAGCGACCTGAAACATGCAAAGCGAATAAATCTGGAACACATCACACGCTGCGATCAGATGACAAAAGCACACCGGAATCCCTTCGGAAAGGGGTTTATAACACCAGAAGTGGTACATAGCAACATATGAACAGGAGTAGGGCGTTCAGCCACTCAAACCCGTTCGGCCATTCTATTAGATCACGGCTTATCTGTACCTCAACTCCAAAATACCCACCTTCGCCCCACAAAAAAAACCTTAGAGGAAAACCGCTTAAAACACGTACAAAAAGACTGTAAAGTTTCAAAGACTGTGGAGGCAGAAATCTCTCAATGGAAGCAGAGCACTGATGGGCTCAGGACTTCATTCATGTCACACTTTGCTGACACTGAAGGGGGAGGTCTCTCTAAACACTACCAGTTGCGGGAACTCCACGGAATTCCCTTAATAGTGCGTCTAAACCTCTAAGTTCCCTGGTTCACTAAATCTACATCTCAAAATTCATCTTGATTGCCAAAAACATCTCTCCTCTCCTTCCCCCCCACTCTCCCCTCCCTCTCCCCCCCCTCCCCCCACCCACCCGCCAATGTCCCCTTCCCCTCTGTCATTGCTGGATTGCTGACCTCACCTGAAAAATATGAAAACAAGACAATCACTTACATACAGGGCCATAAGGAATCCATGCTTGTAAGGTCTTTTGTAAATGTGGCACTGTAGTTTATGTGGTTAACACAGCCTCATTCGCTCACACTTTGCCCTTCATGCACAAACCGAAAGTTATCCCTAACACTGCGCACAGGTCAATGATAAGAGTGAGCATCATTCTCTTTAGATAATCAAAGGTGGGATTAAAGTCCGGTAATAATCCAAAGATTCTCACACAAACCCTTTACAATAGCACAGCCAACTCTCATTCGGCATTCTGAATGCAATTTAGTGAGGATGACTTACTTACTTACTTACTTACAGAGAGGTTTACATTTATATTGCAAAAACTTGTCACAAAGTGCTCCAGTTAATTAATTATATTGCACTGTATAAGAGTCTAAGAATATGTTGGTTCATGTTCATTGCAAGTGGAACAAATGCTTGAAATATTAAATAAACGTTTAAAAATGTGTACAAAGTTCATCTGTTTCTTAATAGGAACTCTGTTATCTACCGTGTGATATAATGTAATATCAAAATATTATGATTAAAATTCACACTTCAAATCAGGATATATACTTTGCAGTTAAAATGTACAGAGAGCATTAGCATTTCATTCATCACTAAAGCTACCATCACCAAATATACAAATATAACCTTGTTTCAAGTCCATATAATTCCAATATATACTCTTTAAATTGCTGGACAAAGCAGAGCACTCCAGGCTCCGGCATGTAGTGCGGGCGAATAAAAGTCAAGTAGGAAAGGAACTTCAGGAAATCTTTTCCCACACAAAGTGTCCGTGGTGCAGTCATTCATAAAAATGTCACAGCATTCTTCCTCTTGAATTTATTAAACCTTTTGTGCTTGAGCTCACAAGCTGGAGGCCAAGAGAATGCTTGTAATCCAGTTGAACATTGTACTCCAGATGTAGACAGGTCAGCAGTTCGCAGTTGCGGTTCCACAAGCCTCGACCAGAGGGAGGCAGAGCTCTTCCTTTAGACGTGGAAACGCCAGGCAGTCAGTCAGCAGTCCTCGATTTATATTATTGGCTTTCGGACTGTTCAACTTTTCAAGCTATTCAACGTTTAAAATAGCCAAAGAAAACAAAGAAACATTCTTTCTCAAAACGAAGGAAGGAAGGAAAAGCGAGGAGTCTAAGAAGGTTCTGTTCTTCACGGTCTCCAACCGGTTGCCTGATGTGTTTAAGAACCTCCTCTGCACATTGGCAAGTTGACAAACGTAAAAACGTTAAACTCAATCATTACCGAGAAACACAAGAAAATGAAGTAGAGCGAGATCACATAAATACCCAGTTTTTTGTCCAGTTTCCATCCATTCATGTACATACCAAACACCTAGAAGCACAGATACACAGAGTCACGTACACAGTAATAATAATTATAATTCTTCTATTTGACATAGCGCCTTTCACGCCATCGAGGTCTCTCAACGTGCTTCACAAGCTTTTACTGTGAAGTGCAGAGTGCGTGTATTTTGTAGGCAAATGTGATAGCCAATTTGCACACAGCAATGTCCCACAAACAGCCATTTAGTGAACGACCAATTTTATCTGTTGGCCAGGACATTGGGAGAAACTCTATTCTCTTTTCGAATAGTATCACGGGAGCTTCAACATCCATCTGAACAGGCAGACCTCGATTTAACAACTCATCTGAAGACACCTTCCACAACGAGGCCCAAGCACACACTTACACACACATACACACACAGCACTGCACTGCCAGTCGAGACTGTATTCAAAATCCCAACATTGGGGTTGACTGAGAGAGAGAGATTTTCTTTGCAAGTGCAAAAGGCTGGAATGGTACTTAAAGGAAAGGAACACATGGACCCCCAATTAAATGTAGCGATAATCTGTAAGTAAACAGCTGGAGTCCTTTTGGGCTGGAAAAATACGTTCTTCTAAAAGAAGTCACATTCCAACCTTGCAGTCCTCTGGTCTGATCCCTGAGTAGATCCCAGGGACAATCCTGCCCGATATGAATGAGGAATGGCCAGGATTCTTCAGGAGTAACCGTACACCTACATAATTGGAGTTTATGGGGGTGTGCGGAGGGGAACGGGGTGCGGAATCGGATGAACAAACATTCCATGGGATGAACAGACATCTTATGGGATATGAAGGCTTTTGAGCTCTAGACCCTGGGAGGTCGCAACTCAGTGTGTTGACAGCCCCGAGGGTCTCTAGGTACCTCCTTTGAAGCCCTCCATAGTCTTGCTCCTCCCTACCTCTGCCACACTACTAAACCTTACCAACCTGTCTGATCCCTCCATGAACCTTACCCTAACATGACTCCATCACTCCTTTAGCAGTTGGGAGTTACAACAGAGTACAACCTTCGGACTCCGGAATACTGTTCAGTGTAGACACGGGCGATGAAACGCACACACAGACAGCAGTAATTCCCCCACATTGCCACACGGAGGCATATCAAACAGCTACAGATTAGCTTCCAGGGTAATAAGCATCGGCAGAGCAATGAATAAAGCTCAACACTGCAACATAGATCCAGCAGACAAATGCTGACATAATTGACAAACACAACTCCCTACCACACCACAGGCTCACCCCTCACTCCCACGGGCACAGCCCCCACCCCTACCTCTGGCCACAGGAGAGGTGAAAGCCACTATACAAAAGCAAGCTGATTTATATGCAGAGAACATTGACAAATGAGTACAAGTAACCCTGTATTTACTCACTGCGAGGGCCACTGATCCCAGCAGAAGGATCACTGAGTAAACAAGCCCCTTGCTGTTTATATGTACCTGCAATGCAAAGCACACAGACGTTTGTCAGCTGTCAAGCACACACTCTGCATCACCGCCGTCATTAAGAGGCTCCACCATGTTAGCTCACCTCCCCCAGGATACAAAACTCCCCGCCAATCACCGTGCTCAAAGAGCATTCAAACCAACATGTATATGCCATCGAAATCTCGCTGTGTCTGGAATGGCACGCGCACTCTCTCTTTCGCTCTCTCCCCGGAGGGACGCACCCTGCTTACTTAATTCTGGAGAGTATGAGGCGCAGGTTGACAAGAGCCAAGGCTTGGGGAAAATAGAGGGTGCATTGGGGTAACTCCTGTGTTTTTAAGCAGCTAAAACTCCACAGCTTGCCATTGACGGCACTGTCTGGCAAGCTTCCCACTGCTTGTCCAGCTGGGACCATCCTACCCATGAGGGCTTTGGTTTACGGGGTTAAAGTCACAGAATTGATAAAAAGAAATTGAAAATGTCCTTCCATTGAATCTCCCCGGAAGCGAGTTCCTGCAGAGGTCAGTGAGGGGATGCTTGGCTTGGATTGGAAGGCACTTACCACTGATCCGGACTGGATAATCATTGTCTGAATCCCCCACGGGAGGCCAAGGCCCACGAGGATGTCAAAGACGTTACTTCCGACAGAATTGGACACAGCCATGTCACCCATCCCTGCCAACACAAGAGTTTACACAATCACCACCGGCCCCAGTGCAGACCATCACTGACCTGTGAGGATCACTGACTTGTGAGCATTCGCTCACCAAACACAACGACAAATGACAAAATTACATTTGTGATAATATTAATAATAATAATAGTTGTATTTGATATAGCGCCTTATCACCTCGTCGATCACGTTCGTCTATTTTGGGTGTGGGGGGGGTGTGGGGGGGGGGTTGGGGGTGGGGGTGGTGGGACGAGGAAGTGACCGAAAGTGCAGTCAAAGTAGATCTTGAGACAGACCTTGAAAGAGGTGAGGGAAGGAGCGGGTGATATGGAATTCCAGAGAGTGGGGGCAGAATGTCTGAAAGCCCATCCATTGATGGTGGGGCAGGTAGGGCAGAGTGAGGGAGGAGGGAGTGGGAGATGGGGGGTGTGGAGAGAGACATGAAACAGGACAGTACTCACTGAAAGAAGAGAGGGGTAGGGTCAGTAAGGTTTGAGGGGGTTGCAGATAGGGTGGAGAGAGACCGTGGAGGGATTTACAGGTGAGAATGAGGATCTTGGAGATGCTGAGGATCGAGATAGGGCACTGATAACACACGGCTCATAAAGATGAAGTGCACGCACCTTGCCTGGCCACGATTAAACTAGCCATGCAATCTGGAACGCTGGTTCCTGCTGCCAGGAACGTGATTCCCATGATGACATCCGGAATTCCCAGGGTGTAGCCTATTACAGTCACCTGTACACACACAAACAAAAGCCAAACAGGTGGGCACACAAGTAAGTGGCACATACAACAACAAATTACATTCGTATAGCGCCTTTCAGGTCGGGAGGACGTCCCAAGAGAAAGCAAGTCACAGAGAGAGGATATATAGAGAGGTTTTCAACAGGTATCATCTGATCGTCACAAACTAAGGAGGAGGACCCCGAGATTGATTTTATCAATAAAATTGCGAGATAACCCTGACAGTGTTAATAAAAGCACATCGACAAGAAGCTGCTGGGATTAGGTTGTGTCGAAAGACTGGGGAACAATGTGAAGTTTAGATAGATCACAAGGGGTGAAATCTACCACTTTTCCATGATTCTTTGTGTTAACGTTCTCATTCTGTCTACCCTACAGGTGGTACCAAAGCGGAAATGGAGCCTGATCCCATTATCCTGTGTGCATCTGATGTACTCCAGATTCACAGCAAGGGTATGGGTTACTTTCGCAGCAAATTTACCCGCTGGCGTGCTTCCCTGAGCCGCGCATTTCCACGATGTAATTAAGCAGCACCCGACCTTTTGAGATGTGAATTTAGTTAGCCTGAGGCTACTGCAAATTTTGGCCCTTATTACCATCCATCCAGCTCCGAGATGGCAAAATGTTTTCTTATTACTATTAATAATGATAGAATTTACAATGCGGTTTATATTTATGTAATGCCTCTCGCGTCGTGAGGACACTTCAAAGTAGCATTAATAATAATAATCCTTGCATTTCATACAGAGCCTTATCATGTCATCAAACTGTCTCAAAGTGCTTCACAGGATTTACTGTAAAGTGTAGTAACTGTGTATTTTTCAGGAGAATGTGGCAACTGATTCCCGGCGTAGGACTTGAACCCACGAGTTTCTGACTCAGAGGTGAGAGTGCAACCAATTGAGCCAGGCCGGTACCATTAAACTTACTGAAACCTGAAATTCCGCAGCTTGAGATGACTACCAGTTTTGGCCCCGAATAAAATCTATTGGGCTACGAGATGACCCCATGTTTTGACAGTAGAAGTGGGGTGAAAGGTAGTGGAAATCTGGGACTCTCTCCCCCAAAAAGGCTGTGGATGTAGGATCCATTCAAATTCAAATTTTCAAGACTGATAGATTTTGTTAGGTCAGGGTATTAAGGGATATAGGGCAAAGGTGGGTAATTGGAGTTGAGGTACAGATCAGCCATGACCTGATAGAATGGCGGAACAGGCTCGAGGGGCTGAATGGCCTCACTCCCATGTTCCTGTGACAGTAGAGAGGAATAAAAAGGACCTCAGACTTACCATCCACACCATGACGTAAGAAAAGATGGCAATCCAAAAAGTGGACATGAAGAAGGACAACATGAAGCAGTTCGCCCAGCGAGGCTTGGCGCAGTTGGGGATTGTGAAGAACAGCAGAATGAGCAGTGGCCACGAACTCAGCCACTTCACCTTGTTCAAACATCCCACTGCAGACAAAACACACGTACCATTCGGTCAGGCGGTTTACGAATCTGAAGGCAACAGTGTGTCCGTGCACAAGGACTCCTGGACCTAACTTTGATGGAAGAAGCAGGTACAGTTAACACAGCATTGGCTGGTGGGGGCGGGGGAGAGAAAGTCCACCTGGGTCTCCATTTGCTCAACAAAGCATTTCAGAGCGTACAAGAACTTCCTAATTCCTAAACACAGCATTAATCCTTTTACCGTCGGACCCTGCAGAAAGCTGGCTTCAAAGTTACAGCTGAATTCGACAATTCGACGCATTTCTGGCCCTTCGTAAAAATTGCTTCATCAACAAGATAAATCTAGACCCCCAGTGGAATTTCTCGCCGAGTGCAGTGAATGCAATTAGGTCGTTCTTCATTTGTTGACGGAGGCTGTTCTTCTACGCCTGAGTAAAAGACTTATTTTAGGGTTCGGAAGTGACTTCGACGAGTTTGACAAGACATCGCCACCTCTCAGTAAAGATGGAGGGGGTGACATTTGTGACCTTAGATGCAGAGCGTTCCTTTTTAAGCGCAAGGAATGAGTCAGGAAACGTTGGAAACTTCACTCTCGCTTGCGATTCTTTTGAATACATTTCCATCAACCCTCTTTCCTCCCAAAGAGAATTGCCTCATTAATCCCATCTCCACTGTGGTGGATGTGTTTTAATCACTGCCCTTGAGTAGTCCATCGAAATTATACAGCACTTGAAAGCCGACTGCATTGCACATTGCTCTAGTGATTCAGGCTAAGGTTAGGTTCTTGCAATTAGTGTAACCCTACCACCTCTCTCACCACTCACCGTCACTCGGAGATTAACGGAACTTTATTTGCAACACTTTTATTTTTCCTTACTGTGGGATTTATGTAGGTCACTGGGGTTTATTTTCGATCTCTTGTTGCAAAGATAAGGTTGTCAGAACCGCCTTGACGGTGATAACAATGCAGAGTACACAGCACAGCTTTCACACGGTTAAATAAAAGATAGCACGGCAGGAATGTTAATGGGGTGAAAAATATCACGTGATGTATTAAGCACATCACCAATGTGGCACTGATTAAAACACAACAGCCAGAGTGGAGCTGAGATCCAAAGCAGTCTTTAAATATTAACTAGTTTCAGCTATCAATAATCCCCACCGTGAAACCTCCCACCCTCCAAGCAAATCTCCTAACAAATGAGGGCGCTGTATTTGCAAGTGCTGCATGTTGAGCCCTAATGTGCAGTTCAATGCGTTAACATCCATTTGCAATCTTCCCCAGTCCCTGTCTGTAAATCGGGCTCATTAAAACAAGGCGAGGTCTAAAGTGTACTTGATACAGTGAAGCGAGTGCACAAAGGCTTGATTTCAAGATCCTCACCCTTGTCTTCAAATCCCTCCATTCCTCTGCACCCCCCGACCTCTCTGACCTCCTCTCTCCTCAAAACAGTACCCGTTGCCTTCGCTCCACCGGGTCTGGCCTCCTCCTTGTCCCCCGAATCCTCCACTCCACCATTGGCGGCTGTGCCTTCAGCCACTATGCCCCGAGGCTCTGGAACTCCCTTCCTCACTCCCTTCGTCTCGACCCCTCTCTTCCTATTTTCAGGTTTCAGCTGAAGACCTTTCTTTTCGACCGCACCTTTGGTCACCTTCCTCCACCTCCCCCTGGCTCCTCCCCCTCCCCCTGGCTTGGCCCAATTCGTATCTACCAGTGATGCCAAACTCAAAAGTGTCAGGAATCCTCACTCTTTACAACTGGCCCCTGGTTCAACAAGTCACGTCAACATCTCTGAGACATTGCCTCGCTGCAGCTAGTGGCAATTGGAAATCAATTCAAGGATCAGTTCTTACCCGGAAGTGAAAAGGGTGACATGAGCTCGGCTCCTCCTCATCGCCGTCTCCGCCTTCCATCGGGCTTTTGTCTGCAGGAATGTTGCCGTTCTCCACGTTCTCGTGTTTCCGAGCCGCAGAGGCCTCTTTGTCCACCCCGTTGGCGGACTGCACTGCTCGTTGCACACAAGATAGATCGGGAGTAAATCCATGCTTCATGTTTCCCAATCCCGCTGGGAATATTTTGCTACCATCACAATTTTGACACCACTGTGAACCCAACACAGCTCCCAACTCCACCAACCCCCTTCCTCTCTCTCTCTCTCTCTCCACCAGAATTTCTCTCTGGGTTGATGGACAGGAACACTCTCTGGAGACCTGGTCTAGCACAACCAAAGCTGGTCTATGCCAGGTGGTAAAGGCTGGCCTGTTAGCATGGCCCTAACTAGTCTAACTTGACTAGTCCCAGAATTGCTACTCTTTGACCTAAAAGTATTGCATAGAAACAGGAGTAGGCTATTCAGCGCCTCAAGCCTGTTCCACCATTCTAAGATCACTTCTCTAAGATTACAGAGTAGTATTTGTTTGTAAAGAGTGATAAATTATCAAGATTAACATTGTTATCAAGACACTAAAAAAAAAGCCCTTTGATGTATCACATTTCACCCAACTCCACTAATGTACTCTTCTGAGTTAGGAGATTGGTTTCCAAGAGATCACGGTTAGCCGGGCGATGGTTAACTGTTATATTATTATTATTATTATATTAAGAATTATGACATGCAGGTGGACACGACATGCATTACAGTGTTAAGACGGTTACTCTACAACTGCATAGCAACCAGAGTAAGGCTAAACAGACAGAGTCAGTGCCAGTTAGTGAGGCGGATAGAGAACAGTCTTGAAGGTATTAACTTGTGATGGGGGGGTGGGGTGGGAGAGATGAACCTCTGCACTGTAAAATAAATGCGATACAAACCAAATCAAGCCACGCGGATTTCAGGGCTTTGCTTTGCCAACAGTTTTTCTTTGTTGTCTTAAGGAAAAGCCCTGGCTCACTCACTCACTCCTTAGCCAACCTGTCGCCTTTTGCACCACCTGTGGAACACGTCATGGCACTTTCTTGGGTGTGTTAGAGGGCAGTAGGGAGGGTGGGGGGGGGGGGGAGTGTACGTCACAGTGCAAAGAAATCGCTTACGTTCAAGCTGTGTGAGCGCTCAATTGTGCATCGCTTCCCAGCAGCTACAGGGCGAAGGAGGTCTGTGCATGCACTCAGCTCGAGAGAGACAGAGACAGAGAGACAGAGAGACGGAGAGCAGCACCGCTCCAGAAAACAGCTCGTCAAGAGAATCACAGGCAGAAACATCACAGTCTGTGTGACGGGGGGGATTAACCCGGTCACGGCCTTTTTAGGGTCAATTGGTGCTCAACCTACGTGCAAAGTTGCAGCCAATTGTGCACAAAAAACCTGTGTGCAATTGGCTGCCGCATTTCGCCCACAAAATATACGGTCAATTCGCTTTACAGTATATTCTGTGAAGCGCTTTGAGATGTCTCGAAAACGTGACGAGGCGCTGTATCAAACGCAAGGATTATTAATACTATTTGGCACTACCTATCGGTATCCAAGTGCAACTTCACAAGGCACTGACCAGCAATGCTTGCTCTACCTGGGGGGAAAGATGTGGGGGAGGTTGGGTGGGGGTGGGGAGGGAAGAGGAATTCAGAACAACATTTTTTTTTCAAAAAAAGCTACGGTTTGGCCAAAATCGGTGTTGTGTTTTGAGAATCCAAAGCTGGAAGTTGACTGTGTTTGACGGCCACTTTGAGGGAAGAGTCCGATCGTATATAGTGGCTGTTCGCTGTCTGGTTAGCCTTACCTCGAGGCAGCAATGGGAGTGACGGGTCATCACAAATATCAGGAGAGTTACCATTACCGTCCTCCATTTCATTGCCGACCACATTGCCGTTGGCTACGTTCCCGTTCTTCTTCAGCTTGTTTGTGAAATAGTTCCTCATGCTCGTGTTGAATCTGTGAGTTGGACACAAATCAGGCAACGACAAGATCTCGCCGTGCGCACACACAGTGGAGTTAGCAAGTGGGGCCTCTGTTCACATCCGTGCTCCGACTAGCTTGAGCCAATGGGGTCTAGAGCCTTAGGATGTCCTCCCAACGAGAAAGGCGCAATACAAATGTAATTTGTTGTTGCCTAACATTGGCGCAATTCAACCTTCCCAGTAAACGTACAGAACAAGCTGCCTGAGCGAAGACGGTGAAAGCAGAAAGTGTTGATTCTTTCAAGAACAAATTAGATCGATTTCCGTTTGAAAATAATATCTCAGGATACAATTATATAGTTTGGGAACACGACATCTCAAGCGACTGTCAGGATGGTGGAGGATGAATAGACCTTGGTCTTCTTTCACCTAGCAAATTCTTATATTCTTAATTCCTATCACGAATAATAAAAAAAACAGCAAGTTTCATATAGCGGCTTTCACATCCAGAGGATATCTCAAAGCGCTCCACAAGGTTTTACTTCATTTTACTTTATATTCTGTGAAGCGCTTTGAGATGTCACGAAGACATGATAAGGCGCTACATCAAATGCCAGGAATATTATTACCGTTCTTTTACTAAGAGCTACTGATATCAGCAGAATAACAAAAGCTTCCCAACCGAGCACATTCCCACCAGATTGGTTCAAAAATGACAACAAAGGTAGCACTGACAGGACACTGTGAAATATGAACTGATTAACTCTGCCATGATGAGGGCATTTTATACATCGGTTTCCTTGTTTGAAAATACGACATGATCTCAGACTCCTCAGATTGATGTGATGTGTCGTCAGGCAGGCCCAAAGCCATATAACTGGCGCATTGGACTATTATCTGGGAGGATCAGAGTATGAAAATTGGTCGAAACGAGCAATTTTACACAGGCATTTCCACGAGGTGGGGGAAGTGGGGAAAGGAAAGAGATTACTTTTGTCAATCTCGGGAACAAGATCTGGGAGGGCTTATTTCACCCATAAAATACACAGTCAATCCACTTTGAAGTATATTCTATGAAGCACTTTGAGACGTCTCAACGATGTGATCAGGCGGTATATCAAATGCAAGAATTATTATTATTATTGTTATTATTGCTGCCATTGTTCAAGGGCACCTGTGAATGCGTTTAGCAAAGAACACTGTTCATTTCATGGATTTAACAGCACCAAAGCAGGCTATCCAGCCCAACTAGTTTGTCCGAGTTTACACTCTACATATACTCCACCATCCAACCCCTGAACCACAGCCATTTACAGCTCAGAAAAACACCATTCAGCTCCTGTAAAGAGCAATCTTTACAGTCCTACGCCCTCCATAATTGGCCTTCTATTCCCTTCTCCATCGTGTTCAAGTTATCTATGAAGATACTGGCAGGATTAACCAATTTAGGAGAAAAACAGTTAAGATACGGAAGGCATGCTGGCAGTGTAGAAAACTCAGCTTTTTTTAGAAAAGAAATACATGCTTATGTATGACGATGCATTTAAAATAAAAATCACAACGGATATGGGATTGGTTCAAGCATTGCAGTTACCCTGTGGCCTCGTCATATCTGATAACTGATAATCTGAAAGAAAATTGATCAAAATAAAAGGTGGACTTACTTCATCACAAGTATGTAGCCTGCGTACATCAAGATCAGAATAAGGCCTTCCCACCTTGAAGAGACAAGTAAAGCGTCACTGGTTTGCAATCGCGCAGAGTTAATGGTACATTTCAAAACATCAGGGGGTGTATTGGAATGTTAGATCACACTTCAGTGTGCTCGGGCTGTGCAATGTGTGCAGATCGCACCGCGCCTGAAATCATCTCGTGTGGGTGACTATTCCGATTTAATTTGGTGAGAAATCAAATAGTTCTCCTTCCATTACTATTATTCTTTAACAGCATCATTCCAGGGAGCAACCAAAATAGCAGCAATAAGAGACGATTAAGTCTTTAGGAATCATGAAGGAGTAATTCCACTTACCATTGAATCTTTTCGTCGTAAATAATCTGCAAAGGAAAAGACAAGAGTTAAGCATTTTGAGCGACTCCTGATAATGTAACTGCACTGCAAGGTAATACCACGAGAGTAATGGGGCGCTTGACAGTTAAACGGGGGTAAAAACGGCCCCTTTAGTGATGCCTGCAGCTTGATGGTATCTGGGTCACTGGTTCAATGCCAGTGACAGACGACAGTCAATCATTACTGTGAAGTTTTGGCAGATCTTGAACACGCTTCTAACTGAGACACCCACCAAGGAATAGAAGCTGATCTGCAGTCTCACAGCAGTTATGGAACCGTGTGCTCTTTCTCTCCCCCCCCCCCCCCCCCCACCCCCCACCACCCCTCTCGCTCTCTCCTCTCCTGGAGCGATGCACTGCTTTGTGAATAATGAAAGCTGCTGACACCTATTGCAAGGAATTTAGCTGACTCCTGGCACTAATTGATTTTATATTCATTTGAGGTTTCTGCACCCAATGCTCTCCACTGGGAGCTGACTGAAGGGGCTGGCGTGGAATCTGCTCTGACTTTAACACACCACATCCCACTCAACGCATTCTGCCTCCTATTTAATGAATCGCCACAATGTACATTAGGTGGGAGGGAGTTTAATGCTGCATTTGTTATATCAGATCTTGCAACCATCCAGCCCAGTATTTTATCCTCCTTTATTCTGTGGCCACATCCAATCGCTTTTCTTTATACGTGTAATTTCTCGATCAACGTGTTCAAGCCATTGTTAAGTTATTCTTTCTCTCCGTTTGGCAGCTGAAGTCCCCATCTCAATTCTGGTTAAGACATTAATGCCTCTCTCTCAGCTCTACAAAAAAATTCCATTTCTATTGTTGCACGTTATTACAATTTTAAGTACTTTTTTCCCCACAAAGCAGATCTTTCTGATATCGTGGTGCAGTCACGGAGCTCTCGATCATCTCCCTCGATTGTATTCGGAGGAATCAATGTTCGTTCTAATCACTGCTTCCCGAGTCTCAAAATAGTGCTGGGAAAATGCATGTCCCACACAAATCTGACACGTACTGACAATCTGCCACAGAAGTGCTCTGCAATACTCCGACTGTCTTTTGACAGCTCTTTGTGCAAAAAAGACTGTGTGCGTATCTAAGTTGCAGACAGCAGGAGAGAGCTCTGGAATGCGAATTAGGCTAAACTTCGAACCTAGCTATTCAAATCGCCTGTTAAGAATGTTTTGAGCCTCGGGAACAGTTTGTGCAACTGGCCAGAAAAGAAAAGCGATGATAATCAACATTCTCGCACTCAATACAGCGTCTTATCACGCCCTCGAGACGTCTCAAAACGCTTCACGAGATCCACTGTGAAGTTCAGGGACTGTATTTTGGAGGCAAATATGGCAGCCGAAAACTATACCGAGGTAAGGTCCAAAGGTGCTGGGTGGGACTCCAGCTCAAATAGCCATATGATAAAACCGTGTGAGCCTGAGCTCTTCACTCTTGAAGGCAACACAGCTGAGCCTGACCTCTCCTCACCTCCTCTCCTCGCGCACGCACCACACACGACATACACCCACACAATTCGAACCAGCGAGTTCCTGGTCTGCGAGCTGCGTCTCTCTCCTCCGCATACATCGGGGCTGCACCGCATGACACCTTTTGAAACCATTCCACTTTCTAACCCAACGAACATTTTGATTTCCAGCAAATTATTCCAGCCAAAAGCAAGTCATATATTAATCAGAGTTCAGTGGTTATTGTGGTTATTGCCACAAGATTTAGTGCGACACAGATTCAAGCAGCTACAGTACGCGCACCAAGGTAACAAATTTATATTTTACTGCCAAAACGCTTCGTTAACCATAAAGGCTATCTTTGGAAATGCCTTTCAGGGCCATAAATCATGAAAAGTGACACTCAGTGTGCCACCATGTGTGTCATTATTTTTCTACGCTCCATTTAATAAAAGATTTAGGATTCACACCAGCGGCGGCTCAGTGTGCTTTACGTGGCAAGGTCCTAGCAATAATTTGATTTGCCTCCTGCTGAAATTCTGTTCTATCTGTTGCGGTTCTGCTTCCACACAGAGGCACTTGCAACTTTTCCCTTTCATTGATCACTAATTACACTGGACCGAGTTCCAGCTAATTATCTCGGTAAAATCAAATGCTGGCGTACATCCTGATGTGCACATGTATCATTACTAATCAAACACACCATTAACATCCGTCACAGATAATGTACCCTGTTATGGATTTGAAGCTCGTGCAGTATTTACGCTCAAGGGGATGCAAACTTAATGAAACTTGTTACAATAACAATAAGCCTCACATCTGATGCAGCGCCTTATCACGTGGTCGAGAAGTTTCAAATAGCTTCACAAGATACATTGTACAGTGGATTGACTGTATATTTTGTGGACGAGTGAACGAGTCGTGATATAAAAGTGGTCCCCGTTCAGTGCGTTTCGGTTGGCAAGTCACTGAAATGCCTCTCACCGGTTCGCTTATACCGCGATTGGGGTCGTGTACATAGGAACAGGAGGAGGCCATTCAGCCCATTGAGCCTGTTCTGCCATTCTATTAGTTCATGGCTGACCTGCACCTCAACTGCATTGCAACCGTCTTTGCTCCTCATCCCTCGGTACTCTTACCTAAGAGAAATTTATCCACCTCAGTCGGAAAATCGACCGAAAATTTCAATCGAGTGTAAAGTACGCTGAGGTTCACTCGCTTTAAATGAAATCCACCGTCGCCCATTGTTTGAAATCCCGTCCGACCCGCTTCAAATCGGTTTAAGCACAGTGCAGGCAATGTCTGTCGTTGAGACTGGTAATAACGCCGGCTGGGAATTTATGGACCTTTCTCCAACTCACACCTTATAATAGTTTCACTGCACACAGTTGGAGATAGAAAGGGGAGAGAGGACAGGTCCTTTAGGAACACACATGTTCTTTTATTTACTGTCTCAAAGTGATCGGACTGGAGTGTGGAAAGTCCAGAGCCCTCTGTGATTTATGGAGACAATTATTCAGAGCCTCGCTGGATTTACTGCACAGACAATCACATTCGGGTAAGATTAGTAATTTTCCTGTTGTCGACTGACTCCTTTGCAGATGGGCTCCTCGGAACAATTTGTTTTACATCTGCGAGTGGTGAAAAATAACTTTCATATTGGAGGAAATTGCAAATTCCCGTTAGATGAGAAAACGAGAAAATTTACTATTACGGAGGATAAGGTACAGTGACCGACCGGGGCATGTTTTTATGATTATGTAGGAGGAATGACAAACCCACGATGATTGGGAGGACAGGACGAGAATTCCCCTTTTGTCCATTGCTTTAAAAAAAGAACAATTCTGATGGAAACTACAAAGTGGTGGTTTAAAGAAATTCCTGCAGCCATGTTTTCCCTACAGAGTAAACAATAATGAAATAAATAAGTTAATAAAATAATAATAATTTGGTCACTCAACCCACGACTGTTTGTGGGACCCTGCTGTGCGCAATTGCCTGCCGTGTTTCGCCCACAAAACATACAGTCAATTCTACTTTGCAGTATATTCTGTGGAGCTGCTTTGAGACGATTCGAAGATGCTATATCAAATGCAAGGATTATTATTATTATAAATAATAATGCTCACATTTGATGCTGCGCCTTTCACGTCAGGAGGACATCTCAAAGCACGTCACAGGATTTACCGTAATAAGATTATAATAATATTTGTACTTCAAAGTGTAGCAATTCTTTTTTTCCAAGTGAATACAGCCATCAATTTGCGCAAAGCAACATCCCACAAACATGAGTGACCAATTTTATTGGGGGTGGGGGGTTTGTAGTCAGGTCTGTTTATTGCTTATGAGCTAATAATCATCTTGCTGCGGTCTAACATGTGATGATTTCTAACAGGATTCCTTAATAAGCTTCCCTTACAACACATCTCTCATGTGGATCCTTGGTTACTGGAACCCACATTCAAGCAAATGCCAAGGTGGTCAGTTGGTCTGCGCGGGAAAGGATGTCAGCGATGACCCAGTGCCCAGGAAGTAGGACCGGTGGTCGTTGTATCCCATTATAACGCAGAGTTTAATTTGGGGGGGGAGGGATGGGGGAATCCGAAACTCTGTGTTATAATGGGGGAGAGGCAGGGGGAATGGGTGGGGGGAAGAGAGTGAAGCGGGGTCATCCTCTGTATTAGAGGTCAATCATTTTTTAAAAAGGAAACTCTCTCAGGGACAACCAGTTAAGACGACGGTCACAGATTTGGGAACTAAATGCTATTCAGATCGAGTTACAGGAGGAAATGAGTCCAGGTTACAAAGACATCAGAGCCCGAGTGGTGACCTTGTTTATGTGAAACAGATACTGACAGCCACGGTCCAGCAGTTGAGGCTCTGGCATGTTTATGCCGTGTGAGTGAAGGGAGCCAGGTCTATTGGCTGTTTCATTCTTTCCTAAAAGATGTCAACCGCATCAGAGATCACAAGCCCATTTAATCTCCTCCTTCCTGAATAACACACCCTCACCATTCTCCCATTAAAGCGTCAAGCAGTTTCTTAAAGGATCTCAGCGTCAGAACCTCCACCAGCCTTAAGAAATACTTCCTGGTGCCTGACCTACAATTGTCCTTCCCAACCCTGAACCTGTGCTCTCTTGTTCTGCGGCCTTGGTTTACAACAACAACAAGATTACATTTGTGTAGCGCCTTTCACGTCGGGAGGACATCCCAAGGCGCTGAAAGTTTATCTGGAAGTATTGATCTGGGTTTACTTTCTCAATCCCTTTCGGCATCTTGTGTACCTCTAAATGGTCCCCTCCTGAAACACGATTCTCTTTCAAGTCATTGACTGAGCCTGAGATCGACCCAAACCGCACAGGTAATATTTTCAACGACTGCTTTACTGACCGTCAACAAATCCCTCCGTGTCGATGACGAACTTGTAAGTGACCCACCCTCTCCCGTCACTTGGTGTCATGTGATCCGCACAGTTTGGAGCTCACGGGCGATTCAACAGCCAAACGTGAATAAGATCAGTGACATTTCACGAAAATAAATCTGACTTAAAAGTGCTTTCCAGCCGACTGCCTCGACATGAAAGAAGGACAAATGTCAGTGTGAGGGATTTAGCTTGGAATCGCATCCGTTAGCCTGATGTGGTTGATCGTGAAACTCTATACATCTGTGGCTCATATTTAGACTGCAATTCACAGCTGGGACCACTGTGGACTGACTGCAGTGAGCGGATGCACACAGCTAGTTCTTGTTCAACTAAATCACATGCATCCAACCTGGCATATTGTTTCAGGACAATAAAGGCCCTGACATTAACACAGGTTTGACAGCAGACACGTAACCTGTAATGGTGCCAGTGTAAAGTAAAGTGCACGGGGTATATAATTTGGTACCAAAACGTGCATCTAAAGAAAAGGTTGCAGACACTTTCATCTCGATGTTGTGTAAGTGCAGTTTCTGTGCACATAACACCTCTCTCAGCAGCATTCTACTGGAGTTTCAACATAGATTATATCAGTTCCGAGTCCTAACTCGGAGACAAAAAGGCTGCCAATTTGAGCCAGACTGACAAACTTCCATTATGGCTTGTGGGGTACACTGCTCTGCGCAAATTGGCTGCCATGTTTCGCCCACAAAATATACAGTCAATTCACTTTACAGAATATCCTGTGAAGGGCTTTTGAGACGCCTCGAAGATGTGGTAAGGAGCTACATCAAATGCAAGGGTTATTATTATGGTTAACAATGATAGCGGTCCACAGAATGCAGCAGCAGTAAGACAAGTGCAGTCTCCAGGCCCTCGTCAGTGTTACATGCATTGGAGGACGTGGGCTTCTGTACTTACCACAATGAGTGCAATCACCGCTAACGTGTAGTAGGACGAATCTCTAAACACAGACCACTGGGTGAGCTGTACTATCTGAAAGAGGAGAAAAATAGAAACATGTCATGAAACGGGACAGAGATTTACCTGGTGAGAACATCTGATGTTTCCTCTCTGTGCCCATCTCCTACACACACACACCACGTCCTACACACACACCATCACTCTCCTGACGCCCACTCAATCATGTAGTGAACAAACAATGATTACGTAATAAAACATTTTCATTGATTGGGTGCACGTTATATAATTAAGGGCACCCGAAATTTCCTGCACTTTCAACAACAGCTTGCATTTGTAGAAGNTTTTTTTAAAAAAGACAACTTTCGTAGAGTGTACAGGTATGTCTTTCATCTCAGGATACAGTATGCAGTTTGAGACACAACATGTCAAGCGACGGCTGAGATTGGTGGGAGGGAAACTAACTGGACCTTGGTCTTCTTCCACCAGCAAATTCTTACATTCTTACTCCGTCGGTGAAAGGTTTTGTCACCGAGCGGATATGAGTAAACGATTTGAACTTGCAATATAGACCCATGAGTAAAGACTTCGGATTCACCCTGAATAATATTTAGAGAGAGAGATTTATAACTCACTTGTCCTGCAAATAGTCCACAGACCCCAATGATACACAATATGTTGAACACTGCTGAGCCAACAATGGTTCCAACTCCTACATCTCCGTGTGTTATGAAAACCCCTGCAAGGAACATAAAAGTACGTCTTACACAAGCACTTACTCACCGATGAAAGAGCAAACCGACAGCAATTTCGGGGCAGTCTTGAGGGGCCGAATGGCCTACTCCTAATTCTTACGTTCTAATCTCTTCTCCTCTGAAGATCACGGTGGGTGGAGGGGGGGGGGGGGGGATTGTTAACCCTTTGCTTGAGATCGAAACAGTACTTGTGTAGGTAGAGTATTCTATTCGTTTTTCTTTGTGAATGCATCGAAATCAAAAATAAGCCGCAGCCTATTGATTAAAGACGCCGTATCGTGTGGCAAGTCGTGGCTTTAGGAATTAATGCTGAGCTGAATCCCAGTTCAAAAGGGTTTTTTCCAGCTCCCTCACTAGGAGCTGACGTTCACTTTCGGAAGGGAAAATATGTCACAGCGCTTGTAACAAAGAGGACATCGTACACTCAGAGCTACTTCAGGCTTTAGACTTTATGGTCAGCGCTTGTTGTCCAGAGGTTAGAGGCACAGTAATGAGGGGAATATACAAAAAAACACATTTACCGGCTTTCATTTGATGAGAGCGACAAAATCGGGCTAGCACAGTAGCTCTCATTGAGAGCAACTTATCAGCACTAACAAGTGTTGAAAGACGCCAAGAGGAACACTACTTGGCTGCGAGATAGCGAAATCAATGCTTTCTCCCTCCAAACGCAAAGCATCTTTACAAAGGAAGCAAATGATTAATGACTCAAACATTTCCGTACTTTAATCTTTTGACTTCCTTTGAAACGAGGCAATTTGATTAAAGATGTGGGGCTTATTTTTAATGCATCTACGTCTGACACAGGCGGTTCTTATGTCGTTTCAGGGTCAATTTGTAGCAATTACCTATAACCGAAGCAAACAGTTCCGGTGCTGAACTCCCAGCGGCCATGAAAGTGGCTCCGGCCACATCTTCACTCAGATGCAACCGCTGTTTTTAAGAGAAAAACAAGGAAGAAGTCACAAGAGGTCACAAGAAATGACGAAGCAAAAATAGAGTAGGGCATTGTTCCCCAATTTTGGAATTAAAACTGCCTGCAGTTTGCACACATTGTATTATCGCTCAGATGGAATAACAGACGGCACAGTATTGGACTCTCAGTCCCTCAGACTTGCTGCACTATCTGGCCACCACTGGTGTAAAGTATTAATGTTTAAAGTGTAGGATCAGTGTGGTGTTTTTAATTAAGCCCTGACAGTCACATAAAGCTCCTCACTCTACACGGCCTGGACCGGATACCTAGTCTGCAAAAAACAGCTACACGGCTCAGGAAGACAGACGGTGGAAGCAGAAACGTTGTATGTTTCAAGAACAAATTCGACAGATTTCTGCTAGAAAATAATATCTGGGGACGCAGTATGTAGTTTGGGGACACGACATGTCAAGCGACTGCCAGGATGATGGAAGGCGAACCAGCAAATTCTTATGTTCTTAAGTGAGTTGGACTAATAATAATCCTTAACAGCGCCATATTGCGTCGTCGAGACGCCTCAAAGCAGTTCGCAGGATACACTGCAAAGTGGTGCGTGTGACTGTGTATTGCTGTGGCCGAAGCAACATTTGCATCCAGGTTTGAACTACTAATAATAAAAATAATAATAATAATCCTTGCATTTGATATAGTGCCTTATCACGTCTTCGAGACGTTCACGGAACATACTGTAAAGTGAATGGCTGTATTTTGTGGGCTAATGTCGTAGGAAAAGTACCCCCAAATTCTGAGGCCAATTCACTGTTCCCTGTGTCAATCCTATTCATCACTCGGCACTTTCAAATAACTGTAATGAGATTATAAATTATAAATAGCAATCGGAATAGAAAAGGGAACATTAAATTTTATAAAATCGGGTGGCAATTTTTTTTCCGACGTGTTCCAAAATGTTTTAAACTCAGTGATAAGCAAGTACTCGATTTAGCTTCTCTCGTTCCTCTTAAACTCCCTCCCTATTTCAAGCCATCCCTGCTTTCCAAGGGCTGTTTCCAATGCTACTCTTACACCAGCTGCTACAGAGGGTAAGAAGAGTGAGCGGAAGTCTCTTGTCCTTAACCTCCTTGAGGAAAGTCCTTTGTTCTGACTCTGTTCAGTGTTTCTCCCGGTTGCCAGAATTAAGACCTGGCCAAGAGAGAACCACAGCTTTAACCTACCCTCCATCCTCCCACTCTCTCTCTCGCTCCCTCTCCCCAACCCTCCCTGCTGTTTTCGCCCACAAAACACCCAGTCACTCCACTCTACAGTATATTCTGTGAAGCGCTTTGAGACATCTCAACGACATGATTAGGCACTATATCAAATGCAAGGATTATTATTATTGCATTATTATTACCAGTCGTCCCCAAAATAAGAACAATACTTAAGGTTCAGAAAGATTAACAGGTAGTTTTAAGCAAAATCAGCCAGTGATAAAAGGGACTTAGTGCCAGTAAGTAATAACAATAATAATCCTTGCATTTGATATACCGCCTCATCTCTTAAAGCGCCTCAAATGAACTATCTCAGCAAAGGATCACTGCTTAGACACTTGGACAATCTATCGAAATGCATCTGGGCTTTCATGGAAATACAAGATCAATTGAAATTCGACACAGCAGTGTCCCACAAACAGTCCTGTTTTTGTTTCCCGTTTTGTTTTGGGATTAGATAATTCTCCTGTTAACAAACAGTGAAGCTGAAAGGTCAGAGAATTGGGTGCCAGAGACAGAGAGAGAGACTGAGCTAACAACGAGGGAGCTTTCAAATCAGGTTCTGCTTGTGCCATTTGTAATCTCGACCCAACCCCTCCATTAGATTACTGCACTCGATTGCAACGACATCTGTTCTGCATGGTCTAGCTCAGTAGTGTGGTTTTTTTTCCTCCGTTTTCTATTATTAATAACAACCGGGGAACAGTGCAGGTCTGCTTATGTAATTAGATATACAATCCCCCAGGTGGTGTCTTCCTAAAATCAGTCTCGCCTCCAGTGATGTCCTACATTGCATGTACCGTACAACTTTCACCTTTGAAACAGCATCCCAATAAAGCCTTCTCCCCCTCAAGCAAGCGGAGCACCTTCTGATGAATGAAACCGCGAGGAAAATGCTTAAGAAAAGTCACCGGCTTCTGGATACAGTGTCCTGGTCACTCGATCCACGACTGTTTGTGGGACACTAGCTGTGCGCAATTGGCTGCCGCGTTTCGCCCACAAAATACAGTCAATTACGGTGTATTCCATCAAGCGCTTTGAGACGTCTCGACGACGTGATAAGGCTCTATATCAAATGCAAGGATTAGGATATTCTAAACTAAAGCAAGCACATCAAAACTTAGTCAAAAAACACTGACTCGATGAAGGAATTTCGATAATGCTCATAAAACACTTAAACCTGACTCTCGGCTTTTCAGTCATAGTCTGAACCTGGTCCCCAGGATTACTTTAAATACAATTGATTTGTTATCCCTCCCCCTCCCACACACACAGACACACACACGCACTCATTTCAATTTCCTCTAGTAGTATTACAGAGGCGAGTTTACTGTGTGATTAATAGGAATCTGATAATCTGTTTAAAAGGTGCCCTAATGCGGATTTGAATTCCCCATATTCCTACATCCAGGCTGATTCCCGGCACTTGTCCAAAGCAAACTGCAAAAGGCTTCCGTTTCGCTCACTTAGCTGTGAATATAACATTACCTCACAGATTTTCTCTAAAGCCGGAACAAAGAAATCATCGCACACTATAGCCAGTGCGTAAAACATGTACATAGTCTGTGAAGAGAGAGAGAAAACAATAATGTCAGTCAGTTTTTAAGACACTCAGTTTTCTCTTTATGAAGTGTTCACTGCCTGATAAGCAGCACATGGGCAACATAAGCAGTGCCGCCTTGCTTTCATTAACAACAAGAAGTCAGTATAGACAACACACAATTATATGGAATGATGGGACAGAGAAACAGGCCATTCAGCCCAACTCGTCCATGCCAGGATTTATACTGCACCTGAACCCCACTCCTTCCCCCCCCCAACCCCCAATACTCCTCTGTTTCCTTCTCCCTCACAAATATGCCTCAAGCTAACTCTTAAATACATCGATGCTTTTTGCTTCAACCATAACTCCCAGCATCGAGTTAAACAATGACGAGGACGTTAAGGAGTCTCACTTGTATTTCAAATTTTATCAAAATAACATTATTTATTTCCTTTGGTTAGAACCCAACTTCCAATGAAAGTTTATACTGCGCCTTTCAGGTCGGGAGGACATCCCAAAGCGCTCAACAGCAGTGGTGGAGAGAGGAAAGATGGCCAATAGTCTGGGCAAAGAGGAAGGTCTTGAAACGGACCTTGAATGAGGTGAGGAAGGGAGGCAGCGAGTTGGAGGGAATGAGTCGGAGGGATTGTGGGTTGGAGTTCCAGAGAACGAGGCAGAATGGTGGGGCAGATACAACAGTGAACCCAACAGTTATTGACTCCACAGACAGCAGTCACAAACAAAATATTCACTCAATTTGCACAGCAAGAATATTAGCAATGGAAGATGCGAAGCAAACTCTGATTATTCATTAGCACCGTTGTAAAACAAAGTACATCACTGAGCCTATTCCGAAGGCTAACAGGAGTAGACTCAACCACCATGGGATTGATTAACCTAGGTCAGCATGGTGGTGAGGGAGGGCTGAGGGTTTCTGCTGCTCTCTGTGTGCTCGTTTCATTAAGATATTTCAGATCATTGATTCATTTTTCTCCACTGCCCTGCGTTCAGGAGCTATTTTGAATGTCTTATTGCAGGGCGTCTGGAGCCACCTCCGAGCTTTGCCGGCATTGCTGGTTGTCTGCCAAAAGGCACAGGTTTTAACTTAATGAATTCCTCAACTGGAATATATAATTCTCAAGTCACTGAGACGCGGGCTGTGCTGTGATTTGCTTTCAGCTGCTGCTTTCCTCCCTTTAACAGCGAGAAAGGGATGAGTTGTACTCGTTTGCACAGGTCAAACGGGTGATTTCTGATCGCTGAAGCAGTAAATGTGATGGAACTCCTCCGGAAGCCTTAACGTGCTGCCGGCAGTACATTAAGGTGTCAGTGGATTGGAAAGGCCAGCAACTATTGGCCTGTAGCAGTGACTGAGCAAGGCTGGCGCCCAGATACGCCACGTGGTTTAACACCTCCAGAGCAGAGGGTGAGGCCTGAGCATCTGCCTACGGCAACTTCGCAATGTGTACTTCCTGGTGTATCTGGAGTCTCGGCTTGAGACATTTCCAGTTACATACATCAGTTATGCCTCTTTTAAGACCCTCCCATCTCAAGACCCTCCTCTTCGACCGCGCTTTGGGTCACCCTCCTACCCCCACCTCCTACCCCTACCCCCCCTGCCTTCCACCCCTCTTGATCCCAACCCCCAGCTCGGGTGCAAACCCCTCATTGTCCAGCGCCTTGGGATGTCCTCTTGGCGTGACATGTAATTTGTTGGTGCTGTTGCGTTACTGAAGAACCTCTGGAATCGACACCGTTCACAAAAAAACTCCAACAGGGACTTTTTCCTTAGAATGTCAAAAATAATTGAAAGCAGCCAGTACAAAAGTGCCTCATCTTCTCAAGTCTCCGGAGGAAGGCCGAACAAGTAAAACTCTTCGTCTGTTTTGAAAGCCCGCACAAAAGATCTATTTTTGTTTGCGCTGGTGGTGTAGGTGAAGGTTGGGAGGTTTGGGGAATAGAATATTTTCCTATTTGCAGCTGTCCTGCGTCAACGCCATTTACACAGAGGGTGGACATGACGTGGAATGTCCCACCGGGTGCAGTGGGCAAGGCAGAATCCACCTTTACTTTCGAGAGGGAACTAGATACGCATCGAAGAAAGTAGGAATTTGCAAGGGAATAGAGGAAAGGCAGGTGTGTTGGGACTGAATGGATTGTTCTTTCAAAGAGCCAGCGCAGACACAATGGGCTGAATGGCCTTCTTTTGTCCAGTAAATTTCTATGGCCGTACAGTTCTAAATCGGTAATTACATTTTCTTCCTTTCTCTCCGGACCCTTAATATCCTTTACTTGCCAAACACCGGGTATTAATCTTCTTCACTCATCCACACTCTAACTGGAAGTGACAAGCACTGTGTTTGGTTGGGAGATAACAAATATCAAATAAAGTAATGGGTTATTGCCGTAGTCCCACGTGAGACGTATAAATCTACTTACTGCCGTGATATGAAGCAGTATCGCTCCATGCTGCCTCTCCTTATTGGTGAAAAGATCATCTGGAAACTCGTGGATAGCTGTAATGAAACAAAAGGCAGTAAAGCGATTGTTAAGGATGCTCGGAGGGGCTCTGGAACAAACAACAATGGGAGGATATGACGCATGTGTTAGCAGTGCATCACAAGAACAGGAATAAAATATCAGATCGGGTCCTCTCGCGAGCAAGAAACAGTATCGCAGGAGGTGAAACATATCAAACCTTTGAGAGTTAAAGCAAATGATCTTAACTCAGGTTCACTGAGAGCACTTCACATTTTCCTCAGCTTAACCAGTTGACAAGACTGATTATTTCGAGGTTTACAACAGAAGTCACAGGAGAAGGTTTTCGCTCTCCTCGCTTACCCTTTCACTCAGATCTTTGTGATCTCCGACCTGCCTTGGCCCCAATCCACCACCCCTCTACCTCACAAGTTATCTTTCTCCCAACTTTGTCTTACGTTCACCCACAAAATACACTATCAGTCCACATTACAGCGAATCCTGTGAAGCGCTTTGAGACATCTCAACGACGTGATAAAGGTGCTAACTCAATGCAAGGATTATTATTATTTATTAACATTATTATTACAATGCATCACACACTCTGCATTCAATGAACTGGCACCCCACCTCTGTGTCTCACCTTTATCCTTAGGTTACGTCCAGCTAAAGATTTTCTATTTGTCTCCTTTTTTTCTAAAAACAGAATTAATCAACCTTGTTTGGATTAACCTTGGTTGGAGGACCATTTCATGAGCAGTGACTGGAACTAGAAAGTTGGGTGGGTATTCTGCAAAGATGAGATCAAATGGGCCGAATTGCCTCCTTCATCCAAATTATTTTCGTGGTTCCCATCTGTCGCACAAAACAACATCAGATTGTGATACTCGCAGATCACAGGCTTGAAGCTTTCCAACAAACAGACACTCCAACACAATGTGGGGAGAGATTTGGAGTACTGCACTGTTAAAGGTTCCACCGTTCAAATGAAGACCTTAAACTGAGGACCTGTCTGCCTGTTCAACCGGACGTTAAAGAATCTCGCAGCACCATTCAGCAAAGAGAAGGGGTTTTCTCTCGGTGTTCTGGCCGACAATCTCCCAAATAAAATTGTTGAATCGCTTTGTGGCTGTTTGTGGGGCTTTGCCTCGTGCAAATTGGCTGCTGTGGTCCAAATCCCTGTTTGAGGTCCAAATCTCTGTCTGTGATCCAAATCCTCCCGACGTGAAAGGTGCCACACGCATGTAATTTGTTACTGGTGTTGCGTTCAACTATAATAATGTACAGTCACTCCACTTCACAGTATATTCTTGCAAAGCACCTTACGACATCCTCCCAATGCGAAAGGTATTATATCAAATGCAAGGGTGGTTATTAATATTATAAACCACGGTTACAATAAAATTATTTGCTTTCCATGGAGTCACTGACTCTCTCCAGTACTTTGAGGTTGTTTACAGCAACGCACAGCTCCCAAATTCTAACGCTCCTCAAGATTGTTCAGTTTATAAATGATTAATGGTTAGCGTTATGAATTATAAAATTGAATCAGGCAGTTTCCATTTGAATATTTAAAGAAGGTACCCGGGCCAAGATTGAATTCTTCACAGCAGAACTGCTGAGTTTGCAGTTACGATGCATAAAAATAAACTGCGCCGTGAATTTTAATTAAAAACAAAATCTCCCGTTGGTTTAAAAACTCTGTGGAACTTGTTGCCATGGAACAAATAGCAACGCATCCTCTTTCCCACCTTTACCTGCTCTTACTTATAATATAATAATAATAATCCTTGCATTTGATATAGCGCTTTTCACGTCTTCGAGACGTCTCAAAGCGCTTCACAGAATACACTGTAAAGTGAATCGACTGTATTTTTGTGGGTGAAATGCGGCAGCCAATTGTCCCACAAACAGTCGTGGATTGAAAATGACTCATTTACTATTGTTTTGTTTTGGAGAGATTATTATTAGGCTCTGAGTGGAGTAAGGAAACTTACCCAAGGTTTCACCCTGACCTGCCTGGAATTGAACTCAGTGATGGATTGACACAGCGAGTGGGTACTGTTAGGCGATTGACTAACCCTTGCGACTTATTGCATCAAAACAGCTGAAAACCCTTCAGAGGTTTATGGAAGATGTTGTGACTGTGCATATTTGTAGCAAATATACACTTTTCTCACAGCAATGTCCTCTGAGTGAATGACCAATCTTCTATCTAAAAATCCATTGGATTGTTGACCAAACAAGAGATCTTTAAGATCCGCTTTAACGCGCAGATGGGACCTCAGTTTAATGAGGTTAGAAAGTTCCAAAGGACTTTAAGATGCAACAACAACAAAATGACATTTATAGAGCGCCTTTCACATTGGGAGGACATCCCAAGGCGCTGGACAGTCAGGAGTCAGGACCCGAGCATGGGGGAGGGGTGGGGTAGGGGTGAAGGGAAGGCAGACAGGTGGGAGGGCGACCGAAGGCACGATCGAAGAGGAGGATCTTGAGACCGGCCTTGAAGGAGGCGAGGGAGGAAGCGAGGCGAAGGGACCGTGGGATGGAGTTCCAGAGTGTGGGGGCAGAGAGGCTGAAAGCCCGGCCACCGACGGCTAGGGAACCTCTCTCAGCACAGCTTGGAGCCTAAAGCAAGACGGTGAACTGAAAGCTCCACACCTGGATGCTTGAACCGACAAGTTCCTGCCTCGGAGATGAGAATGTTACCAGCAGAGCCAGGCTAACATCTTACACAAAGCAATGTTCTGATCTTGATATATTTTGATGTGTTCTGAAATGGCTTGAGATGTGCAATACCGAACAGGACTCAAGCAAAGATTATTATTTTTTTTAAAGAGAACTGGATGTTGAGGTCTAAATTAAAGCAGTGAAAGAGAAAATATATAAATTGAATAGTTACCCGCAGGTTTTATTTTGACATCCTGCCTTTCTATTAATTTTTTCATCAGGGAAAATGTTTCACGGGTTTAAGGTAAAAGCCCTCTAACCAAAGCACCAAGTGATCTGAAGACAGCGATGCTTAGACAGTTAACACAAGTCACTAATAACAATAATAATAATCCTTGCATTTGATACATAGAGCCTTTTATGACTGGGGGAACGTCTCAAAACTCCTCACTGGATTTTACCGCAAAGTGTAGGGAGTGTGTATCTTGTCGGTGGACACTGCAGCAAAGACCACAAAATACACAGCAAATATACGTTGCAAATATATTCCACAAAGCTCTGTTGAGACGTCTCAACAATGTGTTCAGACGCTATATCAAATACAAGGCTTATTATTATTATAATTATTACGATGAAATGCTGACCAATTTCATTTACTCATCGACGCAAGTACTGTTCGGAGATTACCGTGATCTTTTGAGACTGGTGGGTTGAGAACAAAAGTGCGGACTTTCTTCAACCCCTGCCCTCCCCCACCCACCCGTGCACACAGACACACACACACCCACACTTCAAGAGCACGCTCAGAACAAAAACAGAGGTTTGTGAAACGATGTTTTAATGATATTCTGATTGATGAAGATTTGAACAGCAAGCACAGCTGGGTCAATAGAACGGAAGGAACGCCTAATTTATGTGACAAATAGAACATTTCCCAATGCTCATCACTGTCTCAGCAGTGCACTAAAATAGGACATTTAAACCTACAGGGAGGCTGAAAATTGCTAACACCAATTGTACCTCTCTGAGCATTTATTATTTCGACTTGAACTACTTTTCACACAACGAGCCCGGTTTTATCCGATCGAGTCCTTCAAATGGTTCTCCTTCTGCCGCTGGATTGACCTTATCAATCCTAGCCACGGAGACGAGATATAATAATTACAATAATAAGCCTTGGANTTTTTTTGATGTGGCGCCTTATCACGTCTCAAAGATCTTGACACAAGTGGCAGGACAGCCGATTGCGGCTTTGCAACAGAAGAGGGCGCAGCGCAGAAGGAACTAAAGAGAGAGGCCGAAATAATAACAACTACTTTCGGAAAGGAAAGGAATAACATTCCCTCGGAAGAGATCCCAGCACAACCAGACGTAAGAATTCCGGTATTGACCTGGGAGAATGTCGTAGGCAGAGTTCAAATTGATTAGAGTACAAACAGGATGTGGGCACCACTACTCAACTCTTCCTGCGACTTAACACATCAACGTCAAAGGATTACGAACAAATGGCCACCTGCTTTGACAGCGAAACGTTGGGCAAGTTTCGTTACTCCACACACACACACCTCTGTTTACCTAGCAGTGAGTTGGAACCTGGTTGTTAGATGAATGGCAGATTGCTTTCCAGGGGGTAATAATCAAATTTGGTCACTCAATCCACGACTGTTTGTGGGACGCTCTGTGCACAATTGGCTGCCGTATTTCATCCACAAATCATACAGTCAATCCGCTTTATAATATATTCTGTGAAGCGCTTCGAGATGTCGCAACGATGTGATAAGGCGCAATATCAAATGCAAGGATAGGTAATCCCCTCTTGAACAAGGGGATAATTTCTTCGCTCCTGATAGTTACCTGAAGAATGAGGCATCTCCGAGACTATAATGACCGGCTATTAAAGTACTTTCCGAGCCCTTTCCTGAGCAGTATCACTGGAGAGAGCCACAACAGATCCACTCCAGTGACAAGTGCAAATGGGAGCATTACACGCTTGTAGAAAGACAGGTAGAAACACAAGGCATCAAATAAACCCAATCACCTCTTGTAGGTTAGTCTAACCGCCATCGACCAGGTTTGGGTCAACTCTTTGTTGTTCTCTCTGTAACTGTCCAAGGAATAAAAAATTAACCTTAAAAGGTGTTTCAAGTTAATCCACCCCGATTGCTTCTCGATGCAATGCAGGTGATACAGTGGAGTACAAGCCACCACACACAGTCATTGAGGTTGTTGAGACATATTGTCAACCATCCACTGCGCCAATCTGTTCATAGACACGCAGGGGAACATCAGAGGGTGATCAGCTGCTCCCATAGGCCCTCTCGTGGTTAACATGGGTAGAAGCCAGAGAGCAAGTCAGCTCAGTTCA